TTTCCACTGCAGAACGTATCAAAGATAACAAACAAAACTGAACCTGGAAATATCCTTCTAGAATCACCAGGAGAGAAAACGAAAAACCTTTGAACGGAACATCCAACCGAGAGGAAGCTGTCTTCTACATGTGAATTAACGCTCTTGGAACACTTTAATATTGAAATATAATATATATAAGACAGATTAAATGAAGAAAAGCTCAAATTAAATTGAAAAATTTCCAATTTTCTACGAATTTTGAAATTTTCAGCAAATTGGTCTCGACGCGATTAGGATTGTTAATATTTTAGAATGGGTTGAGACAAGGTGGCTTCGGAACAAAATCAGAAATGTTCAAAATTTTTTTCACATGATATAGTTTGAAACCAAATCTGAATGAAACTTAAATTCATAAGATATATTTTAAAAACTTGAAATTTAATTACTTTTCCGACACCTGTACACTGGCAGTGTACAAGTGCTGTGCACGAGTGCTGTATATCCGTTGTGTACATGTAGAAAGTCCGTAGTGGTTAGGGTGCCACTGGTAAATCCACAGGGTAGGTTCGGATCCTGTGTACGGTTGTGTCATCCAGGTTAGGAATGGCTAATACTATAGGATGACCGGCAGTACGCAATGACCAGTGTGCCTAGTATGATCACGACACCTACATGACATACGATGAATAGAAAAAAGGGTTGAAAATACAAATTAAACTATAACCCGTAATTCCAAAATAATTCTAAAATTAAAATTTTTAATCTACATACGATATCTACAATCTTTGTATCTTGTCCACCTTTTCCTTTGTTTTTTCTTCCCCGTATCCCATTCCTTGTTCTTCCATCCAAAAACCTTTCCCTTATTCTTTGTATCTCTAGGCACTCACCGTATATCTCATACACAATGGAGAACTTTCACCGAACCCTTATCGTTTGTTTCAAAAACAATTCATACCACTAGTCCTTAACACAGTTTTCGAAATCTCTTTTCTTGTGTTCAAGTTCAAATCTACCAAAACCTCCGAAACGATTAAACTAACACCAGAATATTCAAAAGACAAATCATCGAACGTTATCATCATTCACTAATAATCAAAAGAACAGAACAGTCTAAGCTCCGTCAGATCTTCTATGAAAGAACATAGAAAACAACTTGAACAACTTGATGTTTTTCAAGCCGAATCAACTTCTCACTCAGTACTCAACACAAACACCAAAATTTCAAAAACAAAATCTGATTTTCTATTATCCAAAATGGGTTCATGAGATCAATCAATTTCACAAACAATCTCACAACACTCGAACAAGAAAGATTACTAAACCAAAGAAGATCTCTCGAACCACACAACCTTCTCTTATCGACAACCACTGTAGGACTGACAAGGAGGGTAAATGAAGACCGGTTGAAAGGGGCGGAGTGAGGGTATGGTACAAGCGATCAGTTATTGATGATTTGGGATATGAAATACAAAAGAAGGAAAAACAATCAATTCTTCAGCAAATAGATGTCAAAGTATCAAAATGAGACCAAGTAATCGTGGCTGAGCTCATGAGATGCTAATGGATGATTGAATTCAGCGGAAGAAGAGGAATCAGAAGATGATTAAGTATCATGAAATCACATAAGAAGCTTGCACAAAAGAAATTTTTCATTTTTCTCAGCGTAATGACGAAAATGGATGATTGGAAGATGAAAATCATGTAACCATAGCGAATGAGTGAACTTTCACGCAAACTTTTCAATATTCGTATGCTTCACGTCTATAAATAGACAACAAACTCTGTAAAGAAAGAAAGAGTGAGGTAGAGAGAGAGAGAGAGAGAGAGAGAGAGAGAGAGAGAGAGAGAGAAAGGGAGAAAGGAAGAGAGAGAAAGATTATATGGGAAGGAAGTGAAAATGGGAAAAGCAACCGTTCTGTTCGTCTTCCATATAGTGTGTGTGAGTGTGTTGTATGTTAATCCTCCTCCTCATATCCAAATGAATTCCCTTCTCATTGGTTGTCAACGTCAACAGAGGCATATCGCAAGTATCAAAAAACTATCAAAACCTAATTCAAATGGGAATTAAGGTTTGAAATATTATAAATTCGATTTGGTTATGGCAAATACAATTTGAATACACAACCTTCCTCACACTCAATCTAAATCTGAAACGAAAACGATAATGAGAAGGAAATAGAGAGAGAGAGGGGGATGAGAGAGAGAGAGAGAGAAGGTGGTAAGAAGAGGGTGATAGAAAGGGTTAGACAGAGAGAATGAAACCTTCTCTTACTATTATCAAATGGCAGATTCTTCTTTTTCGTAAGAAAAAAGGGAAACACATCATCCTCTTCCACACATCATCCTCATCCTCATCCTCATCATCATCATATCCTTATATGAATATATGATGATTGGAGTAAACATTGATAACTATCCCTCCCCCCCCCCCCCCCTTCTCCCAAACACTCAAATTCACATAAGATTATAATCTCATGTTACCCTTTCTTCATATATAATTTCCTTATTATCAATTCAATAGCTTGCGTTGTATGTTAAACATACGTAACCTGAGAGATATGCTTCCTTCCTTCTTTCATTCATTTTTTTTTCATTTTTTTCTAGCTTCTGCCATCTTGTTCAGCTTCATCTTCTGCTTCTTCTTCATCTCTTCAGCTTCTTCTTCTTCTTCCTCCATTCATTCTTATTCTCATTTCTTTTTCTCATTTATAGCCGTCAGACTGTGCTCTTCTTTTACACAAATGGAAGTCAGTCAATTTTGGAATATGGAAAAAGAAATTTGAGATATAAACGAGAAATATTGTGTGAGCTTTCACGTTGCTTCTTATTCGATGAAATAAAAGTACCAGAAATATAATACTTAAAGTTTAAATTGAATATTGAAGTTGTTCATGATTCACAGGCAGCATACACACACACACACACACACACACTAACACACATACACATAGACTCACACAGACTCACACATTCACATGTGATTTTACTTTGTGCAACAACATTAGGTTGTAATCATCTATCTTATAACTATATGAATATATATTGAATATAGTTAATACAGAACCTTGTCTCCTCTTCATAAAAATGGATGCGTCCGTCCTTGTTCAAATCGAAAATCGAAATTATGTTGAGATATCTCCGGACAGGCTTCATAAACAACGAACATCGTCTAATTGTGCTTTCGTTGGCTAGAAAGCCCGAACGGAAATTCTCATTTGAAAAATATAAAATAGAGAATATAATCAGAGATAAGCTGACATGCTTCATGTCATCACGATATGAAATGCCTGCCTGCCTGGCTTGACGAATAAAAAATTTTTTCAAATGATGAGTCATGGGAGGAGGAGGAGCAGCCACAGATACAGCTGCTTCTTCTATTCAAAGGCAGAGACTGCCATTGAGGCTAAGAGGAATATATATATGTATAATATTATAAGTTGAAGAAGCTTTCATACAAAGCCTGTTGAAATATATAAGATAGAACTGACGTCAGGCTTTTAGTTAAAATCAGAAGCCAACGCAGAGCTGGTAGAGCTGCCGACTGCAGCTGTCGACAAGGCAACGACTGCCGTAGATGGGCAGCCTACGTCTTGTGTTCCCGTTTTCTCTCTCTCTTACCATCCCTTAACCTCATCGAAAAACATACTATCTCTATATATATAACACTATATCTTATTGAGTACGGTAGTTTCGTAATCTGATACTGTTTGCCCTCAGGGCACTTAGGGATATAAGGCCGACGGAGAGCCCTACCAAATGGGAGGAGCTAAATGTTTTATAAGGCTGTTGAGTTGTTCCAAGACCTCTTCGACTATCATTGGCTGAGACAAAACGACAAACTATGAGACTAGACGATGCAAGTAAGCTTAGATAAAGGAGAGAAATGGTATTGAAGAGGAGAGAATGCATAAAAAGCCCAAGGGACATGAAAGTCATTTGAGTTGAATTCATCCTTCTGTATATAAGCTTGGAGAGGAAATAGACATAATTTTCGAGAACAAGAACAATGGATATATAGATAACATTAAAAAATGAGAGAGCTGACAGAAGACGAAATAGCATAATCATGGATGGAGAGATGAAACCTCATTCGAGAGATAGAAAGAAACCAGATGCAGAATTGGTCAAGCAATAACCAGAGACGGAGAGTAGCACGACATGCAAACCACGCCTCCTTTTTTGTGGAGGGCAGAACTCTGACGACGCACATTGACCCCTACTGTCATTGTGGTAGGCTAGAGGACTCTCTCTTTTTAACAGCACTCTTGCATTATTATTTGAAACCGTCTTTAAACTTCAAATATGGTAAGTTATGTTTGAGATTTATTTGTAGAGCATATCCGTCTACTAATCACCTTTCAAATATGGTTGAAACAGTCTCATCCACTCATCTTGATGATTCTACTGTGTCAATGTGGAATAAGTACACTTGATACCATATTTGTCAGCTAACATAATTCTCCATACTTCCTTCCTCCTCTCTCCCTCTCCCCCCATTCCCTGCTTCACCCTGCCAAATTAGTGTTGAGTTGAAAGAATGAAGGATTGAAGCTTTGAAAGTATCCCAAAAGACTTTCCACATCTCAACAACTGGCATACCACATATAGCACCATACACGTTCGTTCAGTCGTTCGTTCATTGGCGTATGAGCAACAAACAAAGCTCTCACATAGTTTTTATATTCACATAAAACATGTTTTCTTTCTAACTATATAAATAGTGTTAGAAGTATTAACAGCATATAGTAAGTAAGACAACTTCATTGAGACACAGTCTCAATCTATCCTAATCGTATGGCCGCATCGAAGTAGTAGCCATTCTGTTTTCATTTTATGAAACCAGACAGGAGGCAGGGATGGGCGAGAGGATAGAAGTGAAATATAGAGCAAATCAATCGCTTCACCTCATTACAATTACCACATTCAACATGTTCATCTCAAACAATCATTTTCACATATGCTGTTCAGTTTATTGAAAATGACAAATGAAATGTGTTTGTGTGAGCATATTTATGATGTTGCTATGTGCATGTGCTCCAACTTATTCCAATTGCTTTCAGCGTGAGGTTATTTCTATTCACATCGGACAGGCTGGAGTCCAAATCGGAAATGCTTGTTGGGAGTTGTACTGTTTGGAGCATGGTTAGACAATGAACAATGAGATGCTAATGATCATCATGATGTTTAGGAATCCAACCTGATGGTCAGATGCCATCTGATAAGTCTGTTGGAGGATGTGATGATTCCTTCTCAACTTTCTTCTCCGAAACTGGAAACGGACGTCATGTTCCAAGAGCCGTTATGATTGACTTGGAGCCAACTGTCATTGGTAAGTTCCATACATTCGTATCACAAGACATACCATCTATGGGTCGGTTGAAGCCATCTGCTTCGTCAAATTAGTTGATTAGTTGGCTGCTTCCAGCCTCATCTTTCACAACCAAATACGGCAGTCGGCTCAGTGCTAATCAATACCCCAGACTGCTTGACGAGCAACGTTCATTTTTTAGTTTTCTGCTTGTCTAACCATCTATCTCTTAAAAGCATTTTCCGCTCTTTCTGCAAAGCTTCCTTTCTCTGCCAGCAATGTTTCGTCATCGGCAAATATACTGCCGAGAAAGACATTATCCTTGAACGAAAAGTGTTTTTTACATTCATTAACATGTCATCTGGCCCTCAAATCGCAAAGGATTAGCATTAGCAGTACATGAGAGGATGGATGAGCCTCACTTACTTGTCTCTGCCTGTGTGTGTGTGCCATCATTTTCTTCTTCATCTAATCAAAGCTATGAAAAAGATAATAAAGAAAGTATGAGACTGGAAGATGGAGGAAGCAAGAGAGAGAAAGAGGGTGGGGTGAGAGTGGACAGAGTACTAGGAAGAGGAAGATAGACAGAACTACATAATTGTCATGCAACTATTAAAGCTTCACAAAAATATGATCTGAATATGGAAGTTGAAGCATGAGCATGTATATCTATGAAGTTGACTTCCAACCTTCTTATACTCTCTACCTCCCTCTCCGGCTCTCTCTCTCTCTTTCATTCTCTTTCTCCTATTGCCTTGGAAAGCATATCCACATGTAGTAACAGAACGATATCGTTCGTGTAAATATTAATTCACATTTGGACAATTCCGTACATTTCAAATAATTGATGCTAATCTTTCAAAATGCAAAGTCTATTAAGGGAAGGAGGGAGGGAGAGAGGAGGGAGAGGGGGAGAGGCTTTTTTGAGCCATGCGCCTTTTCTTTTCTTCTCTTTCATGCATGTCCTTTTTTGCCTTCTTTTCTGACTTGCTCCTTCTTCCATTCATTCCGAGCACAGCTAGTTTCTTCTCACAAAATTGTGTGCTACGACTGCTGCTGGTAGTGTGTGTGTGTTGGTTAGCCTTGCTATTGCTATTGCTGAGAGAAAAAGAAATAGACGACGGGGCACATTTGGCCTATTTCGCAATTGTTTCGATCGAAAATTCAGGCGAAAAAGCTATCCAAAATGGCAATGAAGCTGCATCACAAAAATGTTTGAATTTGCTTTTCGTCTCATCTTCTTTCTCTTCTCTACTCTCACTCAAACTATTCATGAGTAGAACTTTCAATATGCAGTCAATTCGGATTCTCTCTCTCTCCTTCTCCTTCTTCTATTCTGTTCGTTCATATTGCAAGAGATGAGAAAACCTCAATGGTTTGTGAAAAAAACCAAATATACGAAGATGGAGAAGTGGAAAAGGAGTTTCAATGTCATCTTACAATCATCCAAACTCTTGTTGTGTTTCTGTCTCGTTGACGGAAGACATATTGAATCAGTCCATCAGATTGATTCGGTTTCGATGGAGTGACACAGAAAGAGCAAGACAAGAGTAAGATGGAAAGATATGCGCTGGCGTCTGACCACGTCGTTCTCGTCGTCGGTTTCATATGATCTGACAATGCCTTGAAGCCTATCTGACCTCCAAAACGGTTTAACTCAGATTACAAAACAACAAAAAACACACAAATATCAGATATTTCAATATTCTTCGACACCTTTGCGCATGGGGTCAGACAACAGGGTCAATGAGGTGGTTTGATTGAAGTGTCTTCTAATCTCATTTTGATGAAACAAGCGAACGACTCATCAGATCAAAGCCGCATCTGATTCGTATTGCAGCATTAACCAAAAACAAACTGTAAATCCCATACAACAGGCCACATGTCGTGAAAAAAGACATTTTGAACATCTAATTAGATATGTATTCATGGTTTTGTAGTATTCATATATGAACGACAGATGGTCCGACATACAGTTATGCATAACAGTCCGCTCCATTCGTAACTTTCGTCTTTGTGTCTGCTCTTCAGCAGATACAAGATATACGGTAGATGTCATCTCTGAAAAGTTTTTTTTTCTCTTTAATGAGAGAATATCTTCATTAGATATGTATGAGATGCTCGTCCGTTTGTCATTTACCCCCCACTCCCACAAGCCATCTCATGGCTCATAGGCAGAAGCTTCTCCTCTCGTATGCGAAAGCCAATATCAAGCACCCTACGAATGCAGTTAAATATACATGCCAAATAAGTTCATGAATTTCTTTGAAACTTCCTCAAACTCCAAGACATTTCAAACGTTTCGAAGCGAAAGACCAATCTCAATCGACCATAAGGTGAATGCATGAATCTTATTAGCTGAATGAAAAGAGATTCAAGGAGCATTTGGTCAAAGGTTACCGCCCTTATTAGTTGCATTAAAGTCACAACTTCAAGAGTTGTAAGCTGGATCATGAAACTTACTTGCATCTGGAAGGGGAACATTCGAATGAAACGAATGCGTTTGCCATAACCGGAGCTACCCTTGAAAGCCAATGAGAATGAAGCAGCTCAATTTCCTTCGGCTTGACCTTTTAAATTTCTTTTTTTTTCTTCTTTGCTCACTCTCTCTTCTAGAGTCTTCAAAGATAGAATTAATGCTCTCGGAGAATTTAATTGCTTCCGGTCAACTATTTGCTCTCTTCCTTATATAGTCACAGAACCTTCCGGAACGGCACCTGCGACCCGTTTACTTCATATACTTTTCCTCAAACGAAAATTTTGCTCTGTCAAGCAGGAAATATTGGGCCAGATGTGAGTTGCTTTACGAACAACGGTGAGCACTTCCTGTGCCTATGCTTCAATAAGCTTTTGAATGAACCAAAGAGTGTTTGGCCAAGTATCAAATGTCTAATAGGCCAAGTGGGTCATTCTAAGAAAATTTCAAGAAAACTACAACAAGTAATCTGCTTGATTAATAATCTCTTGTTTTGCAGATGAGATCCGTACCGGAACATACCGCTCTCTTTTCCACCCCGAACAACTCATCACCGGAAAGGAAGATGCTGCTAACAACTATGCCCGTGGTCACTACACCATTGGAAAGGTAGAGTGATGCAGCATACAGTAATATATCAATCGACGTTGTTTAGGAAATCATCGACTTGACCCTTGATAGAATCCGCCGTCTCGCTGACAACTGTACTGGACTTCAAGGATTCCTCGTCTTCCACTCCTTCGGAGGAGGAACTGGATCTGGATTCACCTCTTTGCTTATGGAACGTCTTTCCGTTGATTACGGAAAGAAGGCTAAGCTCGAGTTCTCCGTCTACCCAGCCCCACAAGTTTCTACCGCTGTGGTCGAGCCATACAACTCCATCTTGACTACTCACACCACTTTGGAGCATTCTGACTGCTCCTTCATGGTAGACAATGAAGCTATTTACGATATCTGCCGCAGAAACTTGGACATCGAACGACCAAGTTACACCAACCTCAATCGTCTTATTGGACAAATCGTATCTTCCATCACCGCTTCACTCCGTTTCGATGGAGCCCTCAACGTTGACTTGACTGAGTTCCAAACTAACTTGGTGCCCTACCCAAGAATTCATTTCCCACTCGCTACCTTCTCCCCAGTCATCTCAGCCGAGAAGGCTTACCATGAACAACTCTCTGTTGCCGAAATCACCAACATGTATGCTACTATCACCCGTAAACGAAAATAAACTAACTTCATTTCAGGTGCTTCGAACCCCATAACCAGATGGTTAAATGCGATCCTCGTCATGGAAAGTACATGGCCGTCTGTCTTCTCTTCCGTGGAGATGTTGTTCCAAAGGATGTTAACGCCGCCATTGCAACAATCAAGACGAAACGATCAATTCAATTTGTCGATTGGTGCCCAACTGGTTTCAAGGTACAGAGCTCTTCTAAGAACAAAATAATTTTACACATCTCAGGTCGGAATCAACTACCAACCTCCAACTGTCGTCCCTGGAGGAGATCTTGCTAAGGTTCCAAGAGCTGTTTGTATGCTTTCCAATACCACAGCTATTGCTGAGGCTTGGGCCCGTCTTGACCACAAGTTCGATCTTATGTACGCCAAGAGAGCTTTCGTCCACTGGTACGTAGGAGAGGGTATGGAGGAAGGAGAGTTCTCTGAGGCCCGTGAAGATCTTGCTGCCCTGGAAAAAGATTATGAAGAGGTTAGTCGTTGAGTTCTCTAGTCATTTTTAAATTTCAATTTCTACAGGTCGGAGTTGACTCTTTGGAGGACAACGGAGAAGAGGGAGACGAATATTAAGAGCAAATCGTCCTCATATGATCTCATTAGAACGTTCCCCGATAGAACTTTTTTGTACTAGCATCGTAACATTTATCGGATACCGTATTCGATAGTGTCCGCATTCCCCAATTTTTCATTATGCGCTAAGCTTGCCTGCTTGCTAACAGCTACTATCAGTTTGTATCACATCGAATCGATAAACTTGTATTGAAACATCTTCTTCTTATTGAAAGCTTAAAATCAATAAAATACTTCATGGAAAGTAAAGAGAAAAGTATTTACAGTAATGCGTACTATACATAGGCTACTTGTTACTTCTTCAAATCTTTTCTGCCACGAAAATGGCTCCCTTGCAACCGGTTTGAATTACGAACTTCAAAGCATCATACATTGGAGCTTTCAGCCCGTCATGTCTGATTCCAGTGTCATGATGTTCTAACTCTTCATCTCTCAGCCTCGTGATAGTTTTCAAGAGATCAGCATGAGCTTCAGGGTCATCAGCAATCAGTTCTGAAAACCAATCTCACCTATTTCCATAACAAAACGAATCACCTTTCAATTGGTTATTATAATGCTGTCCGATCAACTCCTCAACTGCAATGGTGCAAGCCATCGCACCTTCTTTACCCAACATAGCTGACCCCACTCCTAAACCCTTTCAATCAAACCAGATCGAGACAGAAATAAGAATACCGAGAGCGAAGGCAGCAGCACTGAACACTGGAGAGAAGACAGTGTGTGGGACGTCATGTTTCACGGCAAGCCTTTCCATGGTGTCCAGATGTTCTTTTTCTTCATCCCACATCTTTTGTATAATAGAGCCGACAGATGATCCTGATTAGAATTATTAATATCTACAGCTCTCGAAAGGTCTTCTACCATTTAAAACCGCCATTTGTCCGGCGTAAATTCTATCTGCCCCAAGTTCTCCGGCATGATCCACACGGATTATCTTCTCGACCAAAGCTTTGCGTTGAGCAGTAGTGGAGGCAAGTCGTACGAAAACTCGATTCATCTTGAAATTTCGAATGAAACTAAAAGGCAAAGATGAGAGATGTATTGAGAAGATGGGAACTTTTGAATTGATTTATATTACTGGAAAAATAATTTATAAAAACAAATCAATAACCAATATAAATACCATCACAGAAATGTGTGAACCCCTTTTGAACAATAAGTTAATGACTCGAATGGAAACAATATGTATACAACCATTTAGGCTATTTGGTTAAGAAGCTGGATTAGTGATACGTGACCTCATCATGGCTATGCCCATGGTGACCGTATGAGTTTGGCGGCTGTTGTGGAGGAGGAATATTGAAAGCAGCAGTTGGGGGAGCTGGGCTTGAATAACCGTGTCCATGATTGTTGTGATCATGGGAATGATTTCCTGAACGATCAAAGATAAGAAAGATAACGTTTTTTAGACAGCACAGCCGCACGCATCACTTCTTGAATCAAAAGACTTCAAATGATTTCAAAAATGCGGCGTGGGTCACTGATATGCTAATTTGTGAAAACGGAGCGATTGTGCGTGTACAACCACGCAGAAAACGCTTCACGTAAAGAATAACTAAAAAGTAAGCATTACCTCCATCATGAGAATGTCCATGACTACTGTGTCCATGACTTCCTTCATCATGGCTATGTCCATGTCCATGGTGAGTACTGGCGTCGTGATGATCCGTCTTGAAAAAAAACTGTTTTCAACAGACGTCTTCACAGTAAAACACTTACGCATTGGGAAGACTCATGGGGAGCAGTACTCACAGCTTGCCAGGAAGAGGCATCTTTAACAACTTGTACAGTAAGCACGTTCACAATCGATGACAGCTTCTCCGTGACTAAAGTGAGAACTCGTTGCTCATCAGCATCTCTTCGTACTCTGGCGTCGATCGTTCCAATCTATTACGAAAGATAAGGATTGCAATGAATGATGAACTAACCAGTTGAGAAAAATCAAGCTGCCAGAAATGACCAGCTCGAATTTCAAGAATGCCATCGATAATAGAAGCTTCCGAAATAGCTCTGGAAGATGATATTCAGATGTGATCCAGAGGAACCAAGTCTCACCTGTCCAACTGATTAAGTAAATGAGGTGGTGCAGTTTGGAGAAGGATCATTCCAGTGTATGTAGACAATGGATACATAGTTGAGAAGACGGCGATTGATAGTATCAAGCAACATACAGGATCAGACCAAGCAAAATCATGTCTGACAAGAAACAATGATTGAACACTAATGTAAGAATTTTCGAACCTGAAGTGCTCACAGAGTAAAAGAAGTGTAGTTGTGCAACCAGCCAAGAGCACCATAGCATTAATTCGAGGAAGTAACAATCTAGAGAGCCCTGGAATGAGCCAACAAACGGCTTGAGATAAATCAGCAGCATGCTCCTAGAAAGTAAAACGTCATGAGTTGGAATGAATTTGCATCTAACTTGGAGACTAGAACTAGAAGCAGAGGTGAGTACGTGCTGGAATGGCTGATTTTTCAAAGAATATGCTGATAACAGGAGAGCAATACTTGAACTGAAAGCTCCGATATAATATGGCCATGCTCCTAAATTATAAATGATAACCTATAGTTGAATAAGCTAATTATACCTATATCATCTCCTTCATGTTCATGAGCTGCATTAGTATCATGCGAACCATGATGATCTGGAGCCAAAAGGTGCTCAAACGACTCTTTTGAGAGAAAGATGGAAAACAATTGAGCGAGGACCTGAGTATGATAGTGAACTGACGAAGGAAGAGGAAAGTACTTACCGTTGTACTGAACACTGCCAATACTGGTACTCGAGCTAAACCATAACTAAATTTTTGCATAGGCTTGTGAGTAATAGTCATTGAGTATAAAGCGGATAACATCGAACATAAAGCAAACACAGATATCCAGAGGGAGAGCATAAGAACTGAAAAGAGAGTCATATCAATGAAGATCATCTAAGAAACTAACCTATTGAATGGCTAACTGATACACAATATGCTTGGACAACTATGCAAGCTATACATAGAAGAGAAGCTAGCAAACCCTGCTTCCCTTGAGGGTGCTGAGCTGACGCCAGTACCCAAGACAAGCTGAACATCCCCCTACTAAAAGAGAGATTAGGAAACAACAAGGGAAAAACGGAGAAAGTAGAACGACGCTTGAACGTCTAGGTAACGGTAAAAAAAGAAAAAGATGAAATCGTTTATTAGAGGAGATCAAGGAAATTTAAAGGAAAGACTGTTTGAGACCTTAGACTGACCGTTATACGGTTTAAAGCCTCACCCTCTTGACTAGAATATCCATATATGTACACTTATTTACATTCAGAACAACGGTTCGTCCGCATTCAAATCGAATCCATCGTCATAGTTATCATCAAACATAACTTCAGCAGCATAATCATCTTCCATCTGAAACAGAGCTTGAACGACGGAGTTTTTCACATTCAAACCTGAGGCATATCCACAGCGTGACCACCTTCAACCATTGTTAACCATTGATCATTATGCCATCGAAATCTCTCAGCGGCTATTCTGCGAGCCCAATCCTGAGAGTGCTCCTTAAAATAAGGTAGTGTCAGATGAGAAATGAGTTGAGTCTCAAACCCCAATGATCACAAGAGCATTAGAACACATCTCTCTAATGGAAGAGTTTTTGTCGTGCATGAGGTCTATGACATATGCGCCCAATGTAGACTGAGGTCCCATTAATCTATCTGATAGTTCCTTATGTCGAAGGAGTTGAAGGAATAAATAAAGTAGTTGAACTACAAACTCATCATCCACTTGCATTGCTAAACATCATCATATTGAATCAAACAACTCCCGACACTTACTATGCAACAAATTCAAGAAAACTTCCAGCAATGGTACTAAAGCCCTGGCAACATCCAACTGACGAGCCATTGTTCCACACATAATCACTATCTATAAGTATTCAGGTGATAAAGTAACGATGATGCAGATATACCTGAAGCTGTAACGGCTCTCTCTCCTTCAGAGACGACCGTAACTGATCTCCCATCCAAGCGACTAGATCTAGATCTTTGCATATTCTAAATAACCATACGAGCTTAGCAATATCAAATGGGAAAGCTCACCTTATCCAATCTACGGGGCGTACCAGAGCTGCTATTCCGACACATTCGAGCCCTATTGCTGCCCTCTCATCCGCATTTTTAACAGCTTCTACCATCCCTAATCTCAACAGCTTAGGCACCCATTTCTAAATTTGTAAAGTAAGAGACTTGTTGGTAAGTTTCAAACTCACAACGAACATGTCTTGGGTTGGACCGTCATGAACGGCAATTGATCGAACAATTTTGGCGACTAATAGATCCATATTATCCAAAGCTGATTCCATGAGTAAGTCTAAGCCTTGGCCATTGCTTCCACAAACTAGCTGAGCGTTTCGTTTTTCAACACAAGCGTTCAAAAGAATCGCTTTCGTCACATCACTCCCAGCTCCGGATAGAAGATCTCGCATGAGCTGTAGAGAGATGTGTTAGTTCAAAACTTGTAACATACAAACCAATTGGATAGCGTCCGTGAAGGTGATCATAGCCTTAGCGTCGTCGTTGATACTCAACTGATACAACAGGTTCAAAGCTTTAGCATCATCTGAGAAAATTCATTTATGAAAGTAAGAATAGAACGAAACTACCTTGTATCAGAGGAGCAATGTTGGTAACAAGACCACCCGAAACCATTTTACTTCTTATTTTGTTGTTGAAAGATAAGTTGAAAAGTAGTTTGATGGCTGATTTTCGGAGCTCGGAGTCATCGATAGGGAAAAGAGAAACTAAGCGGTCAACAACGGAATTATTTTCCTGAAACAGTGGAATAGACACAAGAAGATAGGATCCAAGACTTACCAGAAGAACTTTGTTCTCTTCGAAAATGCTCACTTTGAGTAGAAACTGGACGGTCGAGAGAAGTAACTCATTGCTTGTGCTATATCTGAAGGAGTAAACCCTATGAAACATTTTTTGAAACAATTCTTACTGTAAGCATTGTACGAGAAGAGGAACCAAATCTCTTCGAATCATCTTCAACTCGATGTTTAGATCACTAGCCATGTTAGAAAGAATTGACAAACAAACTAAAAGGAAGAAATGAGATAAGCAAAGAATTCTTGGACTTACTAGATAGCAGAGTGTGTTGCTTCCTAATTGCTAAACGACATTTCTTGGCCGTTTTCTCATCGCTACTCGATAAACCATTTTTCCAAGCCTCGCCTCTTTTCAATTCATACTCTACAGCATTAACACATAGCGCTCCAACCTGATAAGGATATAATAACAAGAAGTCAGTTAAGAGTACGCACCTTATGATGAACCAAAACAGTGTGAAACTGATTATAACTTGATAACTTATGGAAAACCTTTGCAATGTTAATTGCAAGTTCAAAACTTTTCTTCCAATCCTCACGAAACACTCTGGCCAAAGCACCAATTAAAGTTTCTTAACAAACATGGAATAAGTAAACACTTTTTAAAATTATACCGTTGGCTATGAGACGGGGCAAATTAGAACTCGTTTTCGTCAACTCCAATATGCACATGACCCCCCGTACTTTCTCAGGAACATCTTCGTAAAACATTTCCACGTAGCTCTGATAAGGAAAAAAACTATGAAACAATCATACGAACTGGTCTTACCTCAACATCCTCGATACTGGCTTTCAAACACGAGGCTATGAGACTGTTATCTGTTGATGAGGCGCTTCCTGATCAGACACATTAAGCAAACGATATCGAAATGAGTAAAACCTATTCTATTGCCATTCTTCTTCCTTTTTTGTAAGTAGAAGAGAACTTGCTCTAACTCCTGTCTGTATGCTGTTGGAATGAAAGAACATTTCGTTAGGACCATATTGGCCAAAGAGTTAATGTCAACATCATCATTAAGGTCTTTCAAGTTAATGCTAAACCAAATGTTATCAATTGTTTTCATTTCGAGACTCACATTTGAGATTTCTCTCCGTTTTCGTAACGAACAACTACAGCTTCATCAATTGGATGAGCATCAATACTTACAGACTCTCTAAAACTGATTTGCTTTGTTAGATTTTCAGATTTGAAAAGCACATACCTCATATTTATTTCACAAAAGGATAATACAACTAATCCAAACAATAATATATATTAGATTTGCATAAATAAGGAAGCTTAGCAACTTTTAAGCTTAGACCTAGTTGGCATAAATAAACAGACACGGAAGATGCGTCAGGACGCCGTATGGGTCAACTGAAACTTCTGGCGCAAACGTCGAGCAGAGACAGCTGCGTAAGACCTGAAGGGATAGAGCTTGTTGCTAGTCAACAACAAATGTCCTTTGATTCTCAACTGAATTCTATTATGAAGTTTCCATGTCGTCAGAGGTGAGGAAACGAAAAAACAAAAAAAGGATCTTGGAATTTGGATGACAAATTTTATTTGTTGGAAAGGAAGAGAAGCTTGTATAGCATTGAGATACTGGTGGAACGATTAAGTCCAAAGAGAAATAAGGGGGTAATTATAAACGGAAGGAACTTATATATCTCGAACTGGCTCAGTCAATTTCCAATTTCTATAGAGATTATCCGGCGTGTATAAGAAGTTATTTATTTTTTCTCAAAATAAAAGTTTAGTCACATGTGTGCTCCAACTGCTTTTATGCTAATCTTCTAAATTTCATATGAAAATATTTTGTTAGTTATAATATGTATATAGCATTGTGATGCTCTGTGTGTGTGTGTATGTGTGTGTGTGTGTGTGTGTAGGACCCGTATACTCATGTAGATAGATACGAAATAGATGATAATCCTTCATATCACCTCCCCCCAAAAGAAATGTTGTTGCTTGGAAACATGTACCTTCTGCTCTAAATTTTTCATTTAGCTTTTCATACTTTTCACTTCATATTAAATCTTCATAATAGCACATGATTAGCTCACGCTAAATCCACGTAAGCATATACTTACAGTTTTTTTTATTTTCAATCAAGCATGCGTGTAGAGCGGTTGTACCTTCTTCTCATCTGTACAAACTCAGTACGGGAGAAAATAAAAAGGAAAAGAGAGAGTGAGAGAGAGAGGTGATTGAAGCATTATTTTGCTCTTTTTTTGAAGTAGAAGAAGTATAAAGTTTTTTGATCTCTTCATTATGTGAAAATAGAAATGAAACCATTTTCGTAAATAGATGATGATCATGGCGATTCCATGAAAGCTCTTACTTGCTATTAACTTACGTTGGAGTCTAAATAAATTATATCGATGACGAGCTTTGTCCAAACCACAATCATGGTAATGGCAGAGAGTGAGAGAACAAGATATGATATCAGTGCTGCTCCTTTCTTTTTTTCTCGTCTATTCAAATTATCTTTCCTTCATCCTCCTCATCTCTATCCTCTCTCTTCCTCTGTCTTCCAAAAAGAGTGAAGGAATGAAATTCGGCTGTCACCTATAAAAAACGTTTTCAATATATACTTTCTGTGATGATGAAACTATGAATAGGATGGTTGAAGTCATTTATGTCGTTTGCAAAACTCTCTAACACTATCATTCAGTTTCGTCTTCCTTTCAGACTCAACAACTTATTCTAATCGTTCATTATGTAGTTGAGCACTAATCGAGCCATCCCGTCTTCTCTCTTTCAAGTCATTGTAATTCAGGTCAGTTTTCCCAATTTTCCCGCATATAAACATGAGAGGTGTGGCTCAATCACGTTTTAGGCGTTAGATTTATCCCACTTTATGGCTTGATTTGCAGAATCTTTTACATGAAAAATCGAATGGCTCGTAAGCATCCCCCTCCAACAACTCCATCCTTGCCCATGTACGGTAGAGCTGTCGTCATGGATAAAAGACCTGGTACACCACCAAATATGCCGGGACGAAGTGCTGTAAGTTGGCATTTGATAGGATAATCTCATTGACTTTTTTTTTCGGTTTATTTATGAAAGAGAAAAAGAATATTGACGTCATGCAGTCAGAGAGATAATCAGAAGATGAGAGAGAGAAAGAGGTAGAGAGATAGAAAGAGAGAAAGAAATGAAAGGTGCGCTTTCGCTTGAAGATGAAGTAAACAAATTTGGGTGTGAACAAGAGAGAAATACCTTCATTCACTATACATTGAAGATATTTATAAATATGTTTGTAGCAACAACGTCTTCGAGTTCGCAATGCAACGCAGACGAAACAACTTCTAACGGCCATCTGTCAGAATGATGGTCCCACTGTGCAGCAATTGGAAAATATTTGCTCAAACAAGGTTGTCTTCATGATGTGCAAAATTCTAATTATCGGATGCCTGACAGATTTGCCATCCAAACACTGGAGCTTCATTACATCAACTGGCCGTCATACACAATTATCCAGCTATACTACAAATTCTTCTAAATATCCCTAATTTAGATATGGATGTTAAGGACAATGTATGTATGTCATTCATTATTGCCTGAGCCTCCTACTATGGCTTCATTACACTTATATTTTGTTTTATAAACGTTTTTGAAGGACGGAAGAACGGCTTTACACTATGCAGCAGCCATAAGTGGACTACATGGAGATCTTACAATGTATTATTTATTAACAGAAGCCGGTGCTAAAGATACAACAGTTGGTAAGAATCCCATGATTGAAAACAATCCAAGGGTTTTTCTATAGATTGTGAAGGTTTTACACCATTGGACATTCGTCAGAATCCCGACCTCATACAGATAGAGAGATGTCGTCAACTCAACACATGTAAGCATCCTAATTGATACGAATCAATAGTTATAACGCGCGGGAGGGGGGGGGGGGGGGGGGCAATTGGTTATTGAAATTAGAATACGCATACAATCCACGTGTAAGCGCCAAGCCCATTTATCTGTTCATTTAACTTTGAAATGGCGCGGAAGCGGTCGAACCTCCAACATTCGCGAATGATCGTATAATCCATTCGTTCCAGATCCAATCTTATTCGATCAAGAATGGGACAACCTATTAGCTACAATGGACGAAACTACTTTAACGAATATGATAATACAAGTAAGAAGAGTATCGAGCTTTCTTTTCTAGAATGATATGTTTAGGGTGAATTAGACTTGTCATCTGCTCCTCCGCCAACTCATCAGTCAGACGTATATGCCAGATTAGCATTACTCCAGGTACATCTATGACAGCTCTGCTTACTTACAATGAATTGAAGGCTCAAATTTTGGGAATCTGGGACGCTATAAACGCAGAAGACGAAAGAACCGTCAAGCAATTGCTTCATACGAAAAACTTGGGACTGTGCCGAGATAAAGATGGACGTACACCATTGCATTTAGCTTATAAGTATTATCAGATATATTTATTTCTTAATAACATCATGTTATAGACGTGGTTTTCAACCAGTAATAGATTACCTACTTCATCTGAATCCTGAAGCTGCTCAACTAACAGATAAAGTTGTTTGACAGAGTGAATACATGAAATGAGATATGAGTTGCAGAAAGGACGGGTACCAGCAGCTCTAGCGAATGTTCGTCATATGCTTCATGTTCCAGTTAATAACCAACGCCGAGTAAGCATAGTTCTGTTAAGATGCTTAATATGCTAAAAACTATTAAAAGAATATCTGAAGCTTTTGAGGATGATCTCTCATATCCTGAGTATAATAGCTTCTTTCGAATCATCTTCCTCTATACTAATTTCATATAATTTGTTTTTTTCTAAAATTGAAAGGATTTATATGAGAATCCTTTCAATTAATAGAATACTGACTCTAAAACTTGCGAAATGATCGATCGATGTGCTAGCTTATTGCCCCCTTCCAAATGAATCGGAAGTTCGCATCGCAGCTAAAAAGGCTGTCGATAGCACGAGCTCTCTCTGGACGGGAAGAAAGCATATGTTATGTTAGAAGTTATGCATTATAATAACTTCATTTCATTAAACTAAAAGAGTGCGAAAAATACTGCTACTTACCTTGTTTATTCAATAATCATTCCAATTTTCTATTTAAGGGCTCACGTACTAAGATATTGCATCAATCGCGATTTCAGTCAATTGATACGGAAAAAATGAGGTAATGTTGATTATGTGAATATTCTGAATAATAAGTAGTTTAGAGATAAAAGCGACCCTAGTGACTATGGAGAAGCTGTAGATAATGATGTTATGAATCGTTTATTAAGTATGAATATGAATGCTGGAAGTTATAAGGTTAATATATAGAAGCTGCGAGGGATTATATATAAAAGCTGTTTGCTTAGGTACTAGAAGAATTACAGATGGAAGGAAAAGCCGATCAAATCTGGCATGTTCTCAAAAAAAATATTGGAAACGAAAAGCTCACACAGCACATATCTGCTTTTCGTAAACTACAGGTTAGTATAGTTTTTTTCTGCTCTCGCATTTTCAATATATTTTAGGCAAAAATGAATGAGGCCATTAACGCTATCGAGAATAATGAAGAGATTCGCTTCCAGCAACTGATTGATGAAGATATCGTGTCAACAAGAGATACTAGAGGTAACGTCCGGAAAAATTAAAAAATCAAAATGAAAACTTAGGCATGTACCTGCTTCATATTGCCGTTTTGCGTGAACGACACGAAATGGCCGAGTTTATCGCTCTGCATTATCCGCAGACGCTCTCGTTTCTTGATCAGGTAATCATTCTAGCTCTAATATTTCAACCTTCATCGAACATTCTCCAGGGTGGCAGGACGGCTGCCCATTATGCCGCTATCCAACCTAACGCCATATACGACACTTTGGTGGACTTAGGGACAGACACGAATATAGAAGATGTGGTAAGGCTAACATCCGGTCCCGCCTAATGCTTCGCTACTTACTTTTCAGGACGGCAACACAGCTGAAGCTTATCGCCAATCTCCCCGACGTCTCGTTCGTCCGTCTTCTGTAAGCTCCAGCTTAATGTGCCGTGAAATATCAACAGATGACGAGTTTTACGATCCTGGTTAGTTTTGTTTGGCAGTTGGTGTGAGAGCAGCTACAAGACCAGTACGTGCAAACTCTTGTTAATTCATTCGCTACCTTGCTTCTTCTCTATAATTTTAAAAGGACTTACACTTCGACGTTCTGAGTTATTCTTCATTTCTAGCTTCCGATGGCTTTTAGACTAAAAATAAGTGAGGATAAATTAAGTTAGTTAAAGAAGGTTTTCTGAACTTCCTGATATATCTCTTCCTTTTCCTGTTCATAGAAGACATTATTAGAGAATGTTTATAAGAAGTTGGCGTCATTTCCCTAATAGAAATGACTTGGTTCTCACTATTTTCCTTTTTAGTTGGTAAGATTTCAATTTTTAGTTATTTAATTCTCGAAAAAAAAACGCCTTGTCATGAATTCATTACTGTCTCACCTTGCGTGCTATTCATCATATGTTATTCAACCGGCAAGCTAATGTTTCTTAGCGATTCCTCTGTTTGGCACTCATTTCACTTTTCTCACTCCGTAACCTTGTGTGGAATTTTTTAAAAATTGATCCTACCGCTATAGCGTGGATCTACCAGCCTCACACATTGGTTGTAGTGATCCAGATATCTTTTCGTTTATTCTCTTCTTTTTCGTTTTTCGTCCTCATCATCATCATCATCATCATCATCATGATCGTCGCAGTCGTCGGGAACTCAGTCGCTATCGCGACCTCTTTACTCTTTTTTTTTCTGCTCCAAAATTTCGTAACCACTTGCTATTTTCTGTCGTCTGGATTCTTCTTTGTCTTTCATGTCCTCGTTATCCAGTTCATCAAATGAACCCTTCAACTTACTTCGACTCATGACAACCGCTGTGCCTTCGATGCCAACAGAACCTTTTGCAAATTTCTTCTTTATGTCCTCGAGTGATAGTCGTAATCGACAAGTAATTGAGCGTATTGGTAAGACATTGCATATGAGAACTATCACATTTCAAGCAGTAACCCCCATTTTACAAGAGAAATAACAACAATGTAATTATAAAGTTTAAAACAAAATATAATTTTTAGATGCACCTACCGAAGAGCAATTGGACGAATGGATTGAATTAGGGGAGATTAAGAAATTGGAACAAGTTGTACTCGACGGTCGCTCACACATGCTTCGTGACAAGACCACATTGAATGCTGCAAGCAAAGAATTTTTAAAAGGATTGCCTCAGTACCAGGTAGTTTCTCATCAAATTAATATAATTATTATATAATATAATTGTAGTCTAAAATTGATGCAATTCATAAAGCTGTTGAAGATGGTGATGTTCGACGTGTGAAGTCTCTCATTGATCGTCCACCATTGGCAAGTGCCCGTGATTCCTATGGTGCATCTATTTATAAATGGAAGACAAGAAAATTTATTTCCAAAATGTTTCAGGAATGACGCCATTACATAAAGCTTTGCTACATGGACAAACAAACACTGTTCGCTATTTGTTATCAAAATATCCGAGCTGTGTCAATTCTATAGATCACGTACGTTATCGCATTCGAATTGAAGTTTCTCTTTCATTCAATTCTAAACAAACAGCTTCATGCAAATTTTGTTGTTTTTCGAAAAAAAAAAGAAAAAAAGAAGAAAAAGAAAAGCGAGATGAAGGAATAGAAGAAGAAGAAAGAAAGAAAAGAAAATAAAAGAATATACATGTGCAAAATCATTATCTCAAAAAATCTGGGATAATGATGATGTTCGATTTGTCTCACGTCTATATGCTATGTGTATGTGTGTGGTTGGTGTCTCGTTCCATTTATGCCGGAAATTAAAATCTGGAACATGGTTAGACACATAGAACGGTTGAAAGATTAAACAAATGAAACAAGCAAGCCGTTGAAAAACGTAATTAATAAAAATCAAAAACAGCCCACGATTATCTTGGAATTAAATAACATCTGTCGTGATGGTTGTTCCTCAAATATCATCATTCTTCTCCCCCCCCCCTCTATCGAACTTCCATTTATAGAACATTCCTCATAGGCTGCTGCTGTTTGTTGATCTTCTTTCCTTATATATATATATATATACGCATGAACATATATATATATATATATATATATATATATATATATATGTATTATGTAATATGACGTAGGGATTCTATTATATCTCAAATATTTCATTAAGCTTTGACCATACTCGTTAACAACCTATTCAAAGAGATGTTTCTTTAAACTGACTTTTTCAAAAATGGAAAAAAGGCTGAAGAACCTTTCATCATTTGATATTTCATAATCGCTTGTACGTCTATAACTTCATCACACCTACGATTTCCAGATACTACAAGCACACATAAGAACATTTTGAACTCGATTTTTTCATTATACTATCCCCCCCCCCTCTCTCTCTCTCTTGGTCTCTCATTGCCATTCTCCCTCCATGGTAGATAACTCTTTACTTCCTTATTTTTAACATTCTTCTAGAATGAATACATTCAGAGAATCTGCTACATTCGTGATCATAAATATCCTCTGTGACATCTGAGAAACTGCTCAGAAAGATAACTTTCGAATTCTTCAAACGCGATATTCTTCACGAACGTCCGCGAAGTCGCTTCACATTTCTGAGTTCTTTTAACCAAAATCTTAATTTATATATATATATACATGTATACATCTATATATAAATATATTCTTGTTTTCACTCATATCTCATCTATTATGTTTTTGAATTGAAAAAGAGCCAAAAAAATTTTTTTTTTTAAATTTTTTTTAAAATCAATTAGCTTCTCTCTTCCTTCATTTTTGCTTCTTCGTTTCTGCTTCTCCTCTTTTCAACAAGCTTATTACGTTTTTCACCAGCAACCGTCCGCCACAATATTGATATTAATCCGTATAAGGAAGCATTTTGTTCAGGAAAAAGCTTCTTCAGGCTTCTTTCTACGTTGGCGTCCATCTCTTTCCACACACACACACATACCGAAAGTGAGAAAGCCGGAAGACTTTGATATAAATGAAAATAATATATCACATATGCATGTTGTCGTTAAACGAATATTTGAAATTTCCTTTTTTTTTCTTCTTCTTCAAATTAGAAACAACGATAATGGGCTTGTTTAAGGCTGGGCGAACACCTTTGCATTATGCAGCCGCTGATCCAAATGGAGAACATATGATTAAAGTTCTTCAGAAAAGTGGAGGTGACGCTTTCATTGAAGATAAAGTACGTTGATATAGCATTAACTATATGAATAAATTATGAATTCAGCACGGGCACACACCATTCTATTATCGAACACACGGCCAACGATTGAATGTTCGAAGCATGAAAGATAATGCTGTAATGAACCAATTGATATCTGGCCAATTGAGTCGTCCATTATTACAAGGTTCCAGTTCAATATGTGTATATGCATATGCAATATCATCATTTCATAGATTTGGAGGAAGATATCTATGATTGGATTCATACAGGCAATATTGGAAAATTGGAAGAACTTGTGCTCACCGGATATGCCGATCTGTTATTAGGACGCAATCATGAAGTGGAAGATGCTGACAGCATTGGATTTCTTGAAGTTCTTCCTCAATATCAAGTGATCAACGTGTGATATTTATAGTTCTCACGTTCTTTGTTTTAGGCCAAGATCCAAGCTATTCATAAAGCTGTTGAAAGTGGAAACTTACGTGCTGTTAAGCTCTTGACCGATAGAAAGAAGCTGGCTTTGTGTCGCGATTCGAGGGGATTGAGTCCATTACATAAGGTTGGCAATCTCAATCAATCAACAGCCTACAACCTCACGTCATTTTAAGGCAATTGTTTTTGATCGTTCTGATATAGCCAAATATCTTGTAAGGAATTATCCTCAATCTGTAAATGCAATGGATCAAGTGAGCCGTTTATATCCTTTCGGAGGCGGATGCTCCATGAATCTTCTCATTATCCATACTTTTCTTTTCTTTCGCAGAAAAAACGAACGCCATTACATTACGCGGCTGCTCTGAGAGACGGTGGATACCTCTATAAGGTTATGCGCAAGTCAGGAGCTGATCCAAACATATATGATTGCGTATGTCTTCCATCCATCTGTCTCCCTCTTCAACATGAAATTCATTTTAGAATGGTCGTCCAGCCAAATATTATTTGAAACATCCCGGCGAAATCGACCTAACAGCATTACGCTTAGATGTGAAGGCTGCATTGAAACAGGTTTGACCTGAAGGCAAAGTGTTTGAATAGTTTATCCTCTTTAGGTTTTACATAACCGTGTGGCTCCTAGTTACTTAGAATCTTCAATTCAACAATGGCTCAGAGATGGACAAGTACCAAAATTAGAACAATTAGTGCTTTCAGGCAAGTGCAAGCTTGTGAAACCCCAATATCATACATGAACTTCAGGTTGTGGGGATTTGCTGCAAGGACGATCCTCATCCAATCCCGATACAACTGCTTTCCTCGATGATTTACCTGCCTACATGGTCAGTTCAAAGAAGACAGTAATCAGACCTAGAATACGTTTCAGGAAAAAATCGATGGCATTCATCGCGCAATCAGAGAAGGCGACTTAGACAAAGTTAAATTACTAATGACAACTAAGAAGTTAGCGATCGGTGAGTTGTTGGACTACTTGAAATACAACAGACCTGTACTCCTTCAGCTAGAGATCGATTTGGTTGTACTCCTTTACATGCAGCTATAGTGCATGAACAAACTGAGATTGTTAGGTATGTAGCTGGTCACTTCCCTTCTGTTCTGAACGCGCCTGATTATGTAAGTCTGCTATTTTTGGAACTTTTGAATTGTTTACTGTTTAAAGAACAAACGAACAGCTATGCACTATGCTGCTGCTGCTCGCGACGGTGGTCATTATCTTAAAATCTTGGGCAAAGCTGGTGCTGATCCTATGGCGGTCGATAACGTACGTGTTGCCATGCCGGATATGTATCAAACATCTTGTTTAGGAAGGAAGAACTCCCGACTACTACCGACGAAACGCTGTAATTGATTTGAAACTCATTAAAGATAGAGACGATGATTATGAAAATGTTGGCGAAGAGATCATGGAGGATGGTCCTATGATTGAAAGTCCTGCTAGTCCAGATTCTCAAAGCGACATGTATGTTACGGTCATAAGATCTGTGTTCATGAGAATATGTTCAGTTCCAACCTTGATTCTGCTCGGCAATTCGATGAAGATGACGACAATGACCGTAATCGTTTTGAACGATATGTCCATGCTCGAGTTGACCTGCCAACAAGCGAAAATGGAATTTATCTCGCACGTACTGTTGCCCCAGTTCTGACAAAGGCTTTAGCTGAGGTTTGTGTTGTGTGGAAATATGTGTAAGACAAAAAAATGTGTTTATAGGTTCTTCTACGACGACCAGCTGATCCAATAGGATTCATAAGTGAATGGCTCTTGAAATATCACGGAGATCTACCTCGAGCTAATGGACATTCATAACTTTCGTTCTTCACTCTCATCTGTTTTGACTGTTCTAGGACGTTGCACGCAGTAGCTTAATCATAGAGTTAGATTGTGTCCAAATCTCAAAAAAGTTTATTAATATCATGTACAAAAAGAAAATAATAATAATTTAATGAAAATCTAGAGTTGTTGGGAGTGGGTGTCAATGAAGGAGAATGATAGTCATGAGAGGGGGATGTGTAGTACGTAATGGAAGTGATAAGTCTTGTTAAAAGGAACTGTGATGGATGATCTGGTCAAGTGAATAGTAATGATATGTTATAGAACTAACAATGAATCAATTAGTGAACTGGATAATTTGAGATAGAGAAAGAGAGAGAGAGAGGGAAGTCTCTCGAGAGTATACTAGAAGAATCTTTTATTAAAGGGATTGGTTTGAACCGGCTGAGGAAGGTGACACAGGCTGAAACTTCATAGGTTTGATAGTCAACCACTAATTCGTGAATCAAACTCTACCTGATGATTGATGGAACGTTTAGAAGGAGCTGTTATCCTAAGAAGTGCTGCTGAGAATGGATGGATAAGTTTCAAATGAGCTAAGTAGACGTCGAACACTTCTGAAGTGTAACCGCAGTCTTCACAGACGAAAACCTTTAAAGGTTGAGATGTGAAGAGTGAGAGATGAACCGATGAAGCATTACCTTGTTTCGTCGCTCTTTATAACCAAAGTTGTGGACGATACCATGAACTTTCCTTAAATGGGACTCCAATGAACATCGTTGCGTGAACGATTTATCACACTCTTCGCACTTGTATGGACGTACTCCTTCAATAGAAGAATGAGACCAGTGGTCTAAGGGAGATACGGACCTGTGTGGGTTCTTGTATGTCTCTTCAAGTCAAACGTATCGTTAAAGCCTTTCCCACAAAATGTACAAAGATATCGTTTAAGATCTGAATGACATTTGGAATGTCGATTCAGAAGACGTTGGAGAGCAAACTTCTGTGAGAGCGCAGATTAGACAGATAGTTTTCAACTTTCCTACCTTGCCACAGATAGGGCACATGTATTGTCCCGTGTCTGCTGGAGATGATCCGAGGCTGTTTGTTGTTGTTAGGCCAGTTGGACACATAGTTAATGTTGTTTCTACAGCTTGAACAGCTTTAGCTAAAGGGTTCTTGACTCCATAACCGCCATTAACAAACTCTAAAGATCCAGGTTGTAGTAGACGAGGCTGTAAATACTTAAACATGCACTGTTGGATTATAAATTGAAACTCACAACAGCAGCCGGTATATCTGGAAGAGGAGAAGCAGCTATAGTGGGTAGATTGAGTACATTCTGACTTTTATCTGCTTTCTCTTTTAATACTTCAGAAGTATCTTTTTTGGTTATTAATTCTTCAATGCGAAAGCTATTTACAGATTTGGATGCTCGTTTATGAGTTAGGTTAAGTAGATGAAGCTTAGATGTCGTACTAGGTATTAAGAGAGGATTGAGCGGAAAGAGGGGTAACCAAGATGAAGCAGATAGTGTCGTTGATGAACTCAGATCCAGCCCTGTGAAGGAGCTGCCCGTTGACATGGATAGGCTAAAATGAATGTTTCAGAAAGCATTTTATACAATCATAGACGTTCAGATTCGAATGATGACGATAAGACCACACAATGACAACTATTGTTGAAAGAAGATCGTCATGAAAGTTACCGTAATCATAACTAATGATCCAAGACAACAAACGGTACATCATCAGAACAATGAACATACGAACAGAACGTGCAATAAAGACGATCAAAAGGTTAAAAAGCTGTAGAGATCAGAGAGAGGGAGAGAGAAAGAGAGAGAGAGGGTTGAAGAGTCAAATGGGCACAACCGTTCCACAAGTTACATTTGAAAAATGATTATGTACTCAATACACGTGACGTACACGTGAAATATGCTAATGGAGCGTGGATTATTCAACTTAGGCGAATGATATGCAGATTACTTCAAGAACTATTTATAATCTATAAGATATAAGACAAAGATTAGAAAGTGTAGCTTTGAAGATCTCTAATCAGTTTGTGAACGTGGTTTTTCACGTATCCGAATGAAGCTGCGTGCGTGTGCGTGTGTGAGTGTGTGTGTGTTGTGAGGTATGAACAAGTAAGGGTTATGTAATGAAGACAATGACAGATGATACAAAGTAAGTTTTTATATTTCAGATGGTTTATATTCCATTATGATGTTAGAAGTAGTGTGGACGACAACGTCATTCGCCGCTCTGGAGTGTTTTGTCCAGTACATAGTTCTTCACACTCACACTCACATCATCGTCATCTCTTTTGGGCCTTCCTTTAATAAATGGTAATTCTTCATATGACTACACTCCAAAAGCCGATTTGTAATTGCATCTGGAGGTGAATAAGTGGACAACGTGAAAGCCAATAAGCATCATCTTCTAACTGGATGAGGCTGTTTTGTTAGGCAAAGGTGACTACCAAGGTACGCTACAGATTTCGGACATCGCAAAATCTGAAGAATGGTAGGATACGATCGAATGAACTTCATCTGGTCCCGAGTCAATTCATATATGACAAATGAGCGACAAATACATTAAATCGACCCGTAGGAGCAACGGAACGGAAGATTCAACAGGAAACGAAGTGAGGTTAATAAGATGGCGAAAAATTCTGATTGAAAGAGTACAATTACCGGTGTCGATGGAAATAAAATTAGATGTTTAGAAGTAGAAGAGGTGAGAAGGAAAGTTCAACAAGCGTACCCAACAGAAGACACAGAGAGAGAGAGAAAGAGCGATTGAGAGAGAGAGAGAGGGACATACGCAATGAAAGACATCTGACGAAGACATTTTCCAAATAGGGCTGTAGTACAGTTTGTAAGAATATAGTTACAATATTTGTAATTCTAAATAGATAATCAGCTTTCAGGCCACACGTACCATGGATGACAATCCATTCCACCTCACCATTGACAACGATCGGCTTATATGTTCATAGAAATCTAGTCATGGATATATCTCCAATAGCTTATATGGCATAAATAACAAGTAAGTGATCATCATCGTCGTCATCAACGAAATTGAACGGTCACCAATTTTGAACAAAAAAAGGAAAAAGAAGAAGAGCGAGAGGTGGAGTTGCTAGTGGTGTAGATTATAGATGGATTAGCTAAAAAGACGATCGTTCTGCTAAAGAGGAACACAAAGTAAGTAGAAGAATGACAATAGTAGCGAAAGAACCGTACCGGTTGCCATTGATAGAATAAGCATTAAGAGGGACCTAAGGAGGAATATAGACGTCGAATACATGGCAAACAACCTGTGTGTGTATGTGTGTGTGTGACAATTGAAAAACATACAGATAATCTTGTGGAATATGGCCATCAGACAGTTAAGGTACCGTGAACGTTTGAGACCTTATGACTAAGCTTGAAAGGTTGAGGCATATATGTTTCAGTTTCATGCTACTCAAGAGATGCTTCGAACCAAGTGACAGTTATACGGTGTCATTCAGTTCTACTCAACGTGCAATCTCAGTCCGAAACATCTTGTCCTTGGATTGCGAGAGGAGGTGCAAAACCCGTAAAAGCGCAGACAAAATATGAAGAGAGGAAGAAGAAGAAAAGAAGTAAGGAAACAGAATTGTATGGAAGGGGAGAGAACGAAGAGATGAGCATGTTCTATACCTGAGGTACGAGAAGGTGAAGAAAAGTAAATGATGCGAGAAGTTGAAAGCGTCGGGCTGCCTTTCCTGTTAAAGAAAACTGATTCTGATTCAGGCTAACTGGTCCTATTTTACGAATTTTAGCTAGTATCATAACCCATATATAGATATGAAATGTTCAAATACTTCAAAGCAAGTAGTTACAGAACACCTTGAAGGTGCTGTTCCTCTCTCATCGCCCAATACCGTCCGTTCACACAAGACGATAATCTAAGGATGAGCTACCGTTTAAGACGGCAAAATTGCTCGAAGTAAAGGACGATCTGCCATCATTTTCTCAATTATTCACCAAAATACTGTACCGTTTGAGTCATGCACCTCTAGGTAGTAGCAGCATCGACTTGTAATCAGCTATAACATACAGAACATAGAAAACCTCAGACACACAACCGGAATAACACAATGAACATATGTTTCTTCTACCGTATGACTGGAAGAGAGGGGAAATCTCCTTCCTCTTCTACTGCTATTTCATCGTTAAAATTATCTTTTCTTCTTCAGTTTTTTTTATTCTTTTACCCTCTCATTTCCTCTTTGTAAGCCGACGATATTCACGACATCGTCATAGAATTCTTAGTGTCATGAAGACGTGCTCGATTAGCCGCAACGACGGCATAAGACAGCTGTCATCAAATCAGCTTCATGGCACTCAAATCCGTTCCCCCTCATATCAAACCTCTTTTTTATCTCCCTCTTTCTCTGTAATTCACGAACAAGAAAGCTTTCTTATGACTTGAAAACTAATTGTCAGACTCATAACTGCTATACCATTGGTTGCATCTAACCGATCAAAGGGGATCTTCGTTACGACGAACAAAAAAAAATTGTCTTAGACATGGACATTTTGGGACACAAAGAGAAGGCAAGGAGCTTCACTCATCAGAAGAGGAACTGCTGTTCGAGATTTTCGCGCGCATTGCTGTTTTTGAAGTTTCATTTCAAACATGCCATCAGACGGAACGGTTGTGCTCTCAATGAATAGAATCAGGGTCTTTCCGCCATAAAAGAGATATGAAGTTAATCGTTCGAGATTTGAATGAAAGTACTTCATGACCTTCGTTCACTTTTTTTTTTCCTTCTCAAATGCAGATGGCTGTTCGTCGTATGAACTCTCGTACCTCATGAAAGTTGTGTTAATGTGTTTTATTGTTGTGTAACTCGTAGTTCCTCTTCTTATTTGTTTTCATTATCTATTACTTGTAATCCAGTATTCATTTCAAGGTTAATGGACAGTATATGACAAATTATTATTTTAATAATCTTCAATTAACTTGCCGCTTTGTGTCAAAAGCATTGTTCAATCACATTCACCCTCAGTCATAAGGGTTTCCTCATGTTCTTCCGTATTTTCTTTTCTTCTCTTCAACAGTAGAACTTAACCATGTGAACTGATAACATCTCATCCGCTATCTTTCGTCATACTAAAAGCGTCTGTGCTGCTACTCCTGACTTCCTTTCTGCTGATTACATGAAGTTACCTCTGATAGTCGTCTTAGTGAGGTAAAACAACATAATGCCAGGAAGAATGCCCAATCAGATTACGACATGAACAACAAATCACGGATTCGATGAAGACGTAGTCATAGATTCTTTGTTAATTCCACTATCCCGCATCTCTTCATTCAAATCCGTCACCAACTTTGTCACAAAATCACAAAGCTCATAAGTGAAATCTGAAAAAGGAACTGTGATGATGAAAGCCTTGTAGGGGAGAGAGAGAGGGAGAGAGAGAGAGGAAAAGGAATAAAGATAAAAAAAAAGAAACAAACACAAAGCCGCCGTTTTCTTGAAACAGAATTTACGACTTCATCTGTTATCACTGGTAATAAATTTTATATATTTTCTCTTTTCAAAAATAGAGAGTTCCTTTGCCCGATGTTGAAAACAAGAGAAAGAGCAAGCACACTACCGAACGTGAGCACAGAAGAACAACCGCTCAGCGTTTCCATCAGGCATTAAATGAAAACGAGTGGGTTGCGAGTTATGCAACAGCGTGTACGAAGTATCTGAGTATCATGCAAAGCACTCATCCTCTCAATATACATTTCGGATGCATATTGATTGTGTCAGCTTCATTGGCACTTCTGCACGGATGTTGCAATAAAGCAAAAAAGCTGTCACGAATAATAAGAAAAGTGACAGCTCGTTGGACGTTTATGAATTTTGTGGTGTGAAATTCTCTCGAGATGGTTCCGTGTAATTAGACGACAGCATGGGGAGTGTCGGGTGGAGGAGAAGCTTGCAATGAGTGCAATGTGTGTGTGTGCATGTATAAGATGGAAATGAAGAAGACGTCATCGTTTATCGTCGAACCGGTTAAGTTGAATACAAAATGATGTCAAACAACAGCATCAACAAACTATTCTATACAAAAATTGTGTTATGAAGAGATCAGAATTAGAACATGATAGAAAATTTAAAAAATGTTATGAACGAGGCAAGGAAGAGATTGAGAAGATCAAAGTCTAGCGTATGTAAAACTTGAAATCATTATTAGTTTTTTTTAAAAATTGGTAAAAATTAATACACTGAAAATGCATGAGGAAAGATTTTTACATGGCAAGTCATCTTCTTGAAATCATTAGATTTAAATGGATGGTTTATTCTCGTTATCCATATTTGCCTGATATTGAGCCATCTGCAAATTTATCAATATTATTTTATAGCTCAATAGAACGCAAACTCACTAATTGAGGATTATAAGCTGAGAGGTCGAACCCTGTATTCATTCCCATATGACCTAAGTCTTGTCCCGGTAGCATTCCTTGGAACTGAAAATGAAACATAATGAAGAGTTTTGTGCTATATGACTAACCTGATATGGGTTTAGCATGCCTGATGGTCCAGCCAACATTCCGTAGTTGGCAGCGGGGATACCGCCAATAGTATGGGCAGCTTTCTTGGCCGCATACATATTAGCTTCTTCTTGAGCCTTTGCGATGTTCTTCTTATAGCGAATTCGCTTGTTTCCGAACCAATTGGAAACCTTGAAAGTGAAAAGAGTAAGAAGTGGAGTCAAGATAGAGACATACCTGTGAGACTGTAATATTACATTGTCTGGCTAATTCTTCTTTTGCCTCCTCGGAAGGATAAGGGTTACTCAAATGTGAGTAGAAATATTCATTAAGTACTTCAGTAGCTTGTTTAGAGAAGTTTCTTCTTTTTCTTCTGCAAATAGGAAGGACGTGAAAGGTACGAGGGTTCGAAGGACAAACCTGGCATCCAGGAATCTGCTTCTAAGAATCATAACAGCTTCACAAGTAGATTGTTTCAATTGAACTTGAATTCCACTAAACTTCTTTTGAATGATAGCAACCATTCGATCTATTTCCTGAAACATGGATGTGAGTTGAAGAAGGCATCGATTTTCGATTACTTTTGAACTGATTGGTCGAGTACGAGATTGATCTTTGAGTAATGACATAACATGCTGAGTAAATTCATTACAAGCCTGGAAATTCTCACGATGATAAACATTTCCGATCAGGAACTAGCGAACCTCTTCGTATTTTTGTAATTCTTGATTATATACCATGCGAATGTGACTAAGTTTCTGCCTATAATCAGCCTGATCTCCTCCAGAAGCGTCACCAGCTAAAGGAGCGCCCTTATCCGGGCCAGCAACTCCTTCTGCTACCTAGAAGGTCATCGATATAGAACGATAATGCCATGGGAAAACCTTACCAGCATATTATCCAACCTCATCAACTGTGGATCTTCAGGTTGTTCTTCGCTAGCATTTCGGTGAGTGAGAGCTAAACATGTATAGGATGAAACAAAAAGAATGAAATGAAGAGGAACTGACCAGTTTTTTCTTTAACTTCGCACAAAACTTCGAACAAAGCTTGTTTCATAGGATGGCAGTATAAGGCTTGCTTTCTACAAAAGAAACAGTTGAAGTCTAGAAGAGGATAAAGGAAAAATACTTTAAAGTGTCATTATCGTCTAGTGTTTGGTCAGAGATCTTCATAAGTTCCTGAAGTAAATCATTCATCGTCTTTTTCTGAGGCTCCATGGTACCAACCATCTGTAAAATTTGATTGATTTAACACTAAACTTGATAAACTAAAGTGAAATACAGATTCCGAAGAAGGAGATAATTACATATCATAAAATAAACGTCTTCTTTTAATGGCCGAATTTTACGACAAGCCACTTTAGCATATGGAAAGGTATGACAAAGAAAGCACAAATTCATAAATAACATGATAACGGTCAAATGACAACAAGACTTGGTGAGCTTCCACACTCAATGCTCGCCTGCTAGTCCTGCTTCGTCGAATATGCTAACTATATGAAGACGACAGACCTATTAGACATCTGTTAGGTCTTTTTACAATGGATACGATGGGATCAGCATAGGCCAAGCACTGTTATACGGCCTTTCGGGTCATTGATTTATCCAAGCGACCGCGAACGCAACCGCTCCGCAGGGAGTCGGAAAACCCATCAATCAGATACCGAAGACATCAGAAACACAACGTAGACCTCAGAATTCAACAAGGAACATGTCAAAAAACGAAAAAAACGAGTCAAAATGCTAAATATGGGGCGGAAAGGCGCAAGGAGAAGTGCTCGTGGACGTAACAATGCTGATGAGTTTGCTCTTGCTAGGAACGACCTGCTAGACAAAAAAAACGATGATGTTTGGAGACTTGGCTCGTAAATCTTGCTGTATTGAAAAAACCGAACAAAATAGGACCGTAGGGGGCTTTGCGAGCGTTTCGGGTAGGCTGCAGGGTGTATCTATCGGTCCATCAATCTTACTTGACAGGTCCAAAATAGACAGTGCAGCCCTTGAAGAGGGCTTAGAGAAGCAATTGTGAGCGGACGACTGAGTCCCTGATGAAGGCACCACGTCCTACAGAGAGTGCTAGAGAAAAACGAAAAAGAGAGAAAGTAATTGCGCCTTAAAGGGTTTAATTACTTAGGCTGGAGCGTGGTATGGACCACAGTGGCAGTTAGAAAGTGACTACGAAGACTTCGGTAGGTGAAGTTCCGACCTAAGCAAGCTCTACTCCTACGGCAGATTGTGTTACAGTCTTAAAAAGATTATGGAGATTCATATGTAAATAGGACATTGGACTGAGACAAAGAAGGCCGAATGGCAGATGTCTTGAGAATATTTACACAAACCCAACTAAATACTCAAGGAGGTTCGGGTAAAAAAAGCAAAAAAGACCTCTATCCTATCACATTTCATAAATAAATAAGAAAGTGTTGAAAATCATCGACAAGGAGATAAATCCTGATTAGATATCCTGCGAGTTCATCTATGCCGAGAGACGTTTACGATGGACAATAAGGAAAGTTTATGAAGATATTACACACTGCTAGTTCGTAGCGTTGAGACATTTGACAACTTTTTTTCAAAATAAAACAACATTTTGAATATTTTTTCGAACAATAAGAAAGAAATTTTGTGGAAGTGGTGGAACAATAACAATATGGCAGCCTTTATCTACAGATCAATCAACTGAAATAATTGTGAGAACCCAAATATGGCAATACCAGTAATGTGCATGACCTCAAATTATTAATAAGTACCATGCCTATCCCTATCACATAACCATACATAAATTAAGAATAATAAAGATAATATGCTGCTTCGGCATGAAAGTGCTTTAACGCCTTACACCACACATCACACACACACACATATTGAAATCAGAAAGTGTGAAGCGCGCTCCATGGACACATCAACAGACCTTCAAAGAGTAAATGATGGTTCTCATTACACGCAACAATATATGAAAGTTAACTTGTTTTTAAGACTAAGCTTGAAGTTTTTGTTTTGCTGGCGGCAATTATTAGTTTTTTTTTCAACTTCAGGTATTGCATGCGGATACTAAGCTGACAGTTTCTTTAACTAATTAGCGATTTTTCTATTCTTCCACTATGAAATTAATAAGTAAAACGTTTATCAAAGGTGGCGGCGGGTAAGTACACATCCTAAGCACCTTTCGATTTTCTTGTTTTTAAGCCACATAACTCTGATGCCAGAGGAAGCTGAGGATATGTGGCACATTTTCAATCTCATACGTGTAGGGGATATCGTAAAGAGTCAAACAGTTAGAAAGGTAGGCATCAGGCAAATGGATTCAGTAGCTGTATTGGTTTTTAGGTCATTAATGAGTCATCAACTGGCTCTGTAACTAGTCAACGAATGACCACAACACTAACAGTCCAAGTAGAAGCTATAGATTTCGATCCTGGAGCAGAAGCCTTGCATTTAAAGGTACTTTCTTTGTTTTTCACTCACCCTTCTCCCCGTGTCTTGCAGGGCAAAACTGTAAAAGAAAATGATCACGTGAAGATGGGGTCGTATCATACTTTAGACTTAGAGCCGAATCGAAAGTTCACTTTGGAGAAAACAGAATGGGATATAATTGATTTAGGTAATGAGAATATATGAGAATGATACTTAGATTGAGATTTTAGAAAGAATTGAAGTAGCTTTCGATCCAGCACAACAAGCTGATATTGCTGCCGTGGTGTTACACGAAGGGATGGCAAACTTATGTCTCGTAACCCCTGCGATGACTTTAGTTAAAGCGAAAATTGATATGCAGGTTTGTTCTTAAAACAGTCATGAAGTTCTTCAATGCATGTTAGATTCCCCGCAAACGAAAAGGCTTCACTGCACAACACGAAAAGGGATTACAGAAGTTTTACGATGCCATAGCTTCAGCATTTTTACGACACGTAAATTTCCAGGTTTCGTTTTTGTAAGGTAGAGTATCTGATAGAAAAGTTGAAGATCGTGAAGTGTGTGTTGATAGCAGGTAGAGGGTTTACAAATGAACAATTCTATAATCATCTACTACGATATGCTGAGCAGCAAGGAAAGAAGGTATGAGACGAGTGAATGTGAAATAATAAACAAAAAAGAAATATAGATCACAACGGAGCAAAGGTCGAAGTTTATACTGACTCATGCTAGTAGTGGATACAAACATGCACTGAAGGAAGTTCTGGAAGACAAAGATATAGCCCTGAGACTTTGTGATACGAAGGTTTCTCACACACCTCTTTATCTCATCATTGTTCATTTTTCAGGCTCAATCAGAGGTCAAAGCTTTGAACACATTCCACGAGTTGATGAGTGTTGACCCCGATAAAGCCTATTATGGATATAAGTGAGTCATTGTTTCAGTTTTATTTTCTCATTGAAATGTTTCCAGGCATGTGAAACGAGCTAACGATGATTTGGCTATTGAAACTCTCATGCTATCAGATTCTCTCTTCCGATCCAACGATATAGAGACTCGTAAAAATTATGTTGGTCTGGTTGAGAGTGTTCGTGAACAGGTGAGTGTTTCCATTTCAAGTTTTCTCCTCGAAAGCAAAAGATTTTCTGGTTTTTGTTATGACGACGTTGTTTAGAATGGAACTGTTTTGATATTCTCCTCTATGCATGTATCAGGAGAGCAATTGAGTCTACTTACCGGATGTGCCGCTATCCTCCGGTTCCCTATGCCAGAAATTGAAGATGTAGAACTGAGTGATAGTGACGATGAGGCGGAAGAATAATGTCTTGATTATCTCGTTATGCCTTTTGAAAAGGCTATGTATATTCTATGTGGGATTTGTTACGTTTTGATTTGATTATATCTGCCTTTCATATATGGGCTTATATCTCTCATACGGGTGCTTCATATTTACAACAACTCGGTGGGATTACCAAGTAATAAAGAAACTTTATTAAATAATGGAGATTACTCGTTAACCCTTATGTACAATTACCACTGCGCAAGCAGTTGGGTGAGGCCGTGCACAGCAACGAAATACAGAGACAGAGAGAGACTAGGAGAAATAATTAAAGATTGAGTTTAATACAGTTCGAAGAATTCTTCTGTGAACGATTCACTGTATGGGCTCAAGTTATCACTAGGATATAACGATCCCTGCCCGAAAGAAAGTTGCTCGGGAGGGTAATCAGACAGTAATGGGTCGTTGTCTAGACAACCATCCATAGACCATGATGACGTATTGTCGAAATGAACGGGGCTATGTGTCGAATAGCTTGTTGAAGACGATGTCGGACTGTGAGGTACGTCGTCTACGTTCATGAAATCTTCACTCGTAACCGAGGTCGATCCAAAGTCCTGGGATGCCTGGTAAGAGCTGCTGGAAGGCGATGAGTGTCCTTCTTCGTGATTAGTTCCGCAAACTGGAGCTCCTTCTGAGTATAGTGGCGGAATAAAATCGGTCTGAAAATGCTCATGTTATAGTGACGAACTACATGCTTAGTCCTACCTTGAGATCTTCGATGATTTTGGCGAGCTCTTCTTCGGGTATAAGGTCGTCAATAAAAGGAGAATTTGAGAAAGTTGAAGCTTGACCTTGTCCCACGGCAGGGGAGCACTAATGAATGCTGCTGATTCAACGGTCAAGTTTACTTTCTTATTTTCCTCTGTAAGACGACTGTTTTCTTCCCGAAGACGCTTATTTTCAGCCATCAAGTCTCGGACTACATCTTCTAGCTTTTGTGATCGTGCCTGCAATCGATATTGATTAAGATAAAGCATAGGGCGCACATACCTTCTTTCTATCACGTGCTGTCTGGGCTGCAACTCTGTTCTTCAATTTGCGACGGTTCATCTTTTCTTCTTGTGTCAGGTGATTGAGTCTTTCTCGGCGACGAGGTCCACTGTTTTCTGGACCATCGTTAAGAATGTCTTCGATGTCATCCAAGACGTCTTTTCGTGATGGCTAAATATACTCGTGTTATTGATTAGTGCATATGAAGAGTACATACCTGAGGGACCCGAGATGTAGGAGTTGAGGGTACTGCACGTGTAATACTACGTCTGACTGGTCCTATACGCTCAGTAGCTGGACCAGGTCGTACAAGGTACACTCGTGTCATAATCAAGAGTCTGAAATAAGAGCAAATGAATTTAAGGTTGGGGAAAAAAATGATGAAATCAGTTCGTCTAACTCCATGAAATAGAGAAAGCTCAAGAAAACTTCAAGAAACTCACATTTGATTAATTCGTTAGCCCTGGGCAAGGCCCAAATACAGATAAAACGTCTTCAACGTCCGCTCAGTCGTGAGATCTACTGACACGTCAGCATAAGACTAGTCAATGCGTTATTGGCTGTCGGACGACGCTCTCATTGGTTAACCACGCCTCCCAATGAAACAGCATGGAAATGTGAGAGAAGCAGAGAAGCAGCATCGAAGATTCTAGAATCGAAAATCGTTCAATATACTTGTATGTTTATATATGGGATATGTGCTTATTTGAATTATAAAAAATGCATAAAATATGGAAAAATCCAAAAAAAGTTTATCAACAACACCATGGGAATACAAAGGTTACAAGTAAGAGATCTGTATAAACGTCCACAACCATTTCAAGGTGCATTACTATATATGAATAACATTATTATATTATATTATATTAAAATTTGACTAGAAATCTCAAGAAAATGAAAGTGACGTCACATTAACCGAAGAGACCGAAAAGCAATTTCGACTGCTTGCTGGGAGAAATCTGTAACGAATGAAACTCTTTAGTAAGGAGTCTTAGGCTACGTGTACTACCTGGTTAGCGAACTTTGCTTGTGATTTTGAAATGGCATCGTCATAGTATTCTTCCCTTTCTTTTATTAATTTACTGATGGCTTTGTCTTCTTGCTTCAAACGCTCAACTGCAGCTTCATACCTGCACAAGCAATGAATTATATATGAATTGATTGATTGGTCCTACTTTCTAACGGCTTCAGTGTACTCGTTTTGGAACTTCGCCATTTCTGTTTTCTTTTGTAAGAGAACGCGTTCATTCTGAATCGAATAGTTTATGTTTTTGTTTTAATATTGAATAAACCGTGGTGATCTCATTGAACACTTCTATGCTCTCATCGGCGATAGGTAAGAACGTGATTGTGTATCTGAATGTTTAACTAGTATGTACGAGAGAGAGAGAGAGAGACTACTTACTTTACTAAATTCAGCCAATTATCACCATAGACACACAGGAAGTGCTTTCGGTTGTCTAATAATTGAGCCGTCTGGGTTTCCAGAGTGTCCAAATAATGGAAAGTCAAAGGAGTATCCCTGAAGGAATAGAAGTTTCTTCAACTATCAAGCAAGAACTTACTTGTCCTCCAAATGGAACTTCATAGGAACGAATTCGCCTAGGTTAGATATGGTTTGAGGCATGAAAAACATCTCAGCTTGAGTTCCAGACTTCTTCTTTCTACTTTCCTAAACCAGTTATTTGAGCTTACATTCGAAAATTGGTAAAAACCTGAATCATACGGACGCCTCCTTCTCTATCGAAAAGAACGAGCTTGAACTTGCTGGCAGATGGAGATTTGCATATGATGCTCACACCATTTTTGGCGTATGCACTGTTTATATCGATTACATAGAAATCGGCTTCCTAAAAGAGAATTCAAAACTGAACATGAATGATATGCATGACTGACCTGTTTACCAACACTGGCTGTGATAGGTTGACCAGGTAGAAGTTCCTTGGCCTCCACTTCACATTTCTTTCCCTCGACCAAGTAACGAGCTTGTGCCAAGACTTTGGGTACAATTTGAGTCGGAATGGGAACTCCAAGTTTATTGAAAATAGCTCCAAAAAATCGACCTAGAAGCTGTTGTTTGCAAATCGTAAACGAAAGCTCATCACGAACCCATTTTTCCCATTTCACTAACATCAAATCCCTCGAAATCAATTTGGTTTGTGCTTGGACCACTGACATCATACTGACGACGCTTGTTTGGATCAGAAAGCACAGAATAAGCAATAGATATTTTTTTGAATTTTTCTTGCGCTGTAACAGAGGAAGTTTGATAGTTCGAACGATGATTCATACCTTCTTCGTCATTGGGATTTCGATCCGGATGGTACTTTAAAGCTAACTTCCGGTAAGAATTTTTGATTTCTGATTCAGTAGCTGTTTTCGAAACACCAAGTAGCTCATAGAAATCTTCCATTTCGGAAATGGCTTTCACAGATCCCATCTTAACTTAGAATCTGAAGAAGTTACATAAGCTATAAAGTTATAAGAAAGTACGACAGGTGAATGATACGGACGGGAATATGAGAAATGAATGTAATGAGAAGAGACACTTTGTTTGTTTATGACTAATTATGACTATTTCGAAATTTACATGATGATAGATCGTCAAAAGCAAACTTGAAACATTATGTGTCAACTTCAATGATTTCTTGTTCTACTAATTTTTACCAACGTAAACTGACGTGCTAAACAGCGTGCAAGAATATTTTAATTTATTTTCCTTTTTATCCTCATTATATACCATTTTTTACAGTGAATCTTAAATTTTAGAATGGGCAAGTTCAAGAAAATTAGAGAACAAGTTTCAAAAGACTTGAAAGAAGAAGAAGATAATGAGATTGATGAGCAGCCTCCACACAACTCCGAAGATGATACTTCTTCTTCAGACTCTGAAGTTGAAGGAATGGTAAACTAACCGTATTTATATTAATTTATATATTTTGTGATTTTAGTCTGTAGAGCAAATTGAGGATGAAAAGAAAAGAGCAGTTCTTTGGACGAACCGTGAAAGAGTTTTGGTTCTTTGTGCACGAGGTGCCGATGTGCGCACAAGACATCTGATGAACGACATTAAAGTAAGTTATTGCAACCACTCGATGACGTAAAACTCTTTTTCAGACTCTATTACCTCATTCTAAAGGTGATTCAAAACTAGATAAACAGCAGAGTCTTGTTGTCATCAATGAGATTGCTGAGATGAAAAACTGCACCAAAATTCTATTCTTCGAGAGTAGAAAGAGAAAGGTTCGGCAAAAGGAATAGCTTCAGTGTAGTATTTTTATTGTAGGACACCTATTTATGGATGAGTAACGTCAATGGAGGTCCTTCCATCAAGTTCCTTCTCCACAACATTCACACCATGCTGGAACTCAAACTATCAGGAAACTGTTTGAGAGCATCTCGTCCCATTCTCTCTTTCGACAATTCCTTCGATGAAAAACCACATCTCACACTCACTAAGCACGCTCTCACTCAAGTTCGTTTCAGCTCTCTCATCTCACGAACTTATATGGTTTTAGGTTTTCGGAACACCTAATCATCATCCTCGTTCTCAACCATTCGTTGACCACGTTATTTCATTCTCAGTCACTCCCGATGACAAAATTTGGTTCCGTAATTTCCAAATCGTAGATGAAACACTCCAACTTCAAGAAATCGGTGAGTAAAGTCTTTCATGTTGCTCATTCATTGTTACTTCACTCTCCAGGACCTCGATTCGTGTTGGAAACTATTAGGATATTTGAAGGATCTTTCAATGGAGCTGTTCTCTATGATAATCCAGAATATATTAGTCCAAACACTACTCGCAGAGAGATAAAGGAGCGTGCTAAGGCCAAGAGCTTGTCTGCTATGTTGCATAAGAAGGCTATTGCAGTTAAAACTAAAAAGATTACTGATGTTCTTAAGAAGAAGACTGTTGATCCTGTAGGAGAGGTATGAATATCATAGCACATGCATATCTTACTCCTTGATTTTTCCAGATTTTCGATACCGAGAGGGAGATTGTTGACGACAAGGCAAAACTGATTGCTGATGTTATAGACAAGAAGCGTAGAAAGAAAGTTCTGACTAAGGGAACGGCTAAGAGAGGCAAAGTAGAGGCCAACTAATTGTTTCGTTATTTGTTATTCATATTTGTTATTGTTGAACCTTTTTGTTTGTGTTTTCCGATAAATACCATCTTTACAAGATTGTTGCCGGTTCTGAGGTAGTGACCTTAGCATACCTGTGTTAAGTCGCTATGTTTAACTAACAGGCTCTAAGTTCTTCATACACTTAAGTAGGATTCTAATTGAAACGCATAAACTCTTGTTTTTCGTAAACACAGAATGAGGCTGTTATGCAACAGAATCAATTTGAGTCGTCAATGTTAAATGCCTAAATATGCCTGCATGTTAGAATAGGAGCTTCAAGTTTATACAAATTTCATCTGGAGGATATACTAGAACTAAACGACGTTATTCTCTTCTATTCATTGATTTTCCCCGGAGATGAACAAGGCATGTTCGCAGTGTTCTTCTCCAGTCATATGTTACTGCCACGTTAGAAGACCGTTTAGGGATGCTCCATTTGATGAGTTTCTTTGAATTCGTTATTCGAGAAGCGAATCCCTTATTACATGGTGTTGTTGTGTCAGCTCGTCATTATGTTAATGAGGTTATTACATTCAAGTTCATCACGTGACCTATACTCGGACTTTTCACGTGAAAGTGAATTCATTTCTAACTCACATTTGTCTGCATGCGGTTGCTTATATCTCATTCTCGTTCATTAGTCTATCTTATTTACTAAGCGGTTTCGTTTTCAGATTATGAGCTCACCGGAGAAGGTCTCCGAACTCTTGCAAGGACTCTACCTAGAAGAAGAGCAGAAAGTATGTTGAATATGCCAAAGATGGAACAATTTTGAAAATAGAATAAGGAGCCAGTTGATCGATATGTAAAGCTTAATGTTGGAGGATCACTCTTCCAAACTACGTTATCAACCTTAACAAAAGAAGATACTATGCTACGAGCCATGTTCAGTGGTAGAATTGAGGTGCTTTTGCTTTTATTCATTGTAAAAAGAGTTTATTTTGAGGTAGAGACGGATAGTGCCGGTTGGGTGTTGTTAGATCGAAGTGGAAGACATTTTGGCATCATATTAGATTATCTGCGTGATGGTTCAGTGCCTCTACCAGATTGCAAAATGGAAGTGGAGCAAATTCTGAACGAAGCTCGTTTCTATTTAGTGCAGGTGTGGAAGAATCTGTTTCTTCAATTACATTTCTCTTAGGGTTTGATCAACCATTGCCAGTCTTGGTTAGATATTCATGGGACAAGGGAGGAAGAAGGTGTACCCTTTTCCATTTGTTGTATCCCTACTGTTTACACAAAAGGTCATGCGCGTCAAATAATCTCGAATTCAACAAAAGTATTTTCACTTATTTTATCAAAATCGACCTTTGACCTTTTCCAGCCTGTAATTCAACTTCTCATAAATAGACATAATAATAAGTACTCATACACACTACAATCCGATGACAACATTCTCAAGAATTTGGAGCTGTTCGATAGATTAGCTATTAAGTTCCACGATAGAATATCATTTCTCAAAGGTTCACTCAAGTTTTTTGTGTTCACAATCTTTTTTTCTTAAGATGTAGGCTCAGATCCTTCAGAGGTTTGTCAATGGCAGTTTTACGGCAAAGGCAAACGTAGGGCCGAAGTTTGTTGTACTTCGATTGTATATGCTACTGATAAAAAACAAACGAAAGTAAGTTTTCCCGTTTTTCCTCGATTCAATATTGATTCTTGCAGGTGGAATTCCCAGATTCACGTATTTATGATGAAGCCATGTCCATTCTTCGATATGAAGACCGCGGGTTGTGTTCTCGATGTGGAGAAGAAGCCTGTGTGCCAGGATCGAATAGCGCAGTGTCGACGTCAAGTGGTGATTAATGAAACTGCCAGTCAGTGGGTTTAAGTCTCCTGAATATTGCGGATGAGCGCTGCCTAGTTTGATGTATATAGTTTTAACATATGAATGACTGTTTATATGAAATAGTATCGCGGATGTTGTTCCTGTGGGAGATGAGTGATGATTTTTAAACTCCTCTACTCTCCTCTGTAAATTTAAGTGTTCTCAAAGAGCATAATTGTACATATGAATCGAGATCCTGAAGTTGTCAAAACAGCTTAGGAACGGAACACTTGTTCAGAGAGTGTTCCGTCATAGTCTTCTTCAATAATATGATTGTTGTCACATGTGTGAATCTCTTGCCATACTTACTTTGCCATACAAGGTATTCTCAGCTTTAAATGAGTTTTGTATAAAAATATTTATTACTTATTAATTTGAATTAAACATTTCTTATTAACTGTTCTCAGATGCATGAAGAGGCAAGATAACTGAAAACGTAACCCGTACGATAGATTGCGAAACAAGTGAAAGCTCCGTATATTAAGTGGACGGCATAGTACAGTAGGGAGTCCAGGTTCGGTTACAAACCAGACTCACATCTATAACACTAACTAGAGCGTCAGGCAATTCGAGTAGTCGTCGAGCAGCAATCGAATATTGTACATTCGATAGACCAGATATCTGAAGAGATTGGAATATTTAATTAAGTGCAGAGAAGAGAAACTTACTCTGTCACGCTTTCTCTTCATGGCTCTCTGATCTTTGGTAACAACAGCATAATCCCTTTTCCTGTTTCGTCCATGTATGTGCCGAAAAGTGTTCTTTCGATTTGTGGACAAACCACTCACCCGAGTCAAGTTAAGTGAACTCTCACTTTAATGCAGAATATATTATGTTAAATCTCAAGATCGACTAGTTGTTACCTTATTCGGAGGTAGAACTCGTCATCTTCTAATCCCCATCCCCAATACTTGTTCGACATTCCATTTAGTAAATTATAATCAATCATGGTCGTCATCAGGATACCTCCGATGAATTTGGTGTAGTTGTATCTGAAAACGGAACATGACTCGAAGTAAAAGGCAACTACTATACTTGGGATGATATTGAGGAGAGGAAATATGTCGTATTACTCCAACTTCAGGAAAACTATAGTCTACATCTGGATTGAGGGGTAGGAGATCTACATCGTGCATAACCAAATAATCACATCCCAATCTGTCAGCTTCATACCATCCGACCTTAAGTTCGATTCATTGTCAAAGTCAACAGGAAGACTTTCGTTTACATTTATAAGAGATGCCCTATTGAATCGATATTCGTCTGTCTGATTTAAAACTAAAATACGATGGAGCACATGCTGAACAGAAGTTACTGGATCTTCGAAAAGACAATGTTGACTTGCCTGATTTTTCAGGAAACGGCTAAGATGTGGAGCAAACTCTGATAATTCTTCTCTTCTATCTCTATAGGGCACGAGGACACACAGCTCATGCGGCTTTACTGTATTCTTTATCACACTTAAACAAAGACAAGTTAGTTTCATCTGTAACCGTGCCTTACACATCCGAACTACTTCCATCCATAAGGTCAAAATACATAAAAACTAGAGCAAATACATTTATAAAGAACAAAAGTACCAGTATCAACCGGATATGTAGACGCATTGTACGAGGAATCTCATCTGGAAGATATGTCCAGATGTTGTTTCCACCCGTTAAGTTCCAACTCTTTCTCTGCTGTGGTCATGCTCTATTGCTATTTGGCAACCAGCCAAGCGACCGTGACGCGTCTGGTTGAAACACGCTTGCTCCAGACGCGGCGCGGTTTTTCCTGATCCATTCCCTTCATTGGCCGCAACCACCGTAATGCTCTTCGGTTTTCGGTCAATCGAAACAGCGCTCCACGGAGAGCGCCATCTCACACATGTCTGCTGCTACCAGCTCATTCATGCTTTCAGTTCTTCGATTTTCCATTATTTCGCCTTATATATCATTGTATTTTTCGAATATTGGATAAATTCTTGTATTTCACAGGGTACGTCCTTCGCATGAGCATTATCCAAAAAAATGCTTTCAGATGTCCACGGATGCAACTGCGAAGGCTGAATTATTGCTGGCCGAGCAGGCCATGTATGGCCCATTCTTCGGAACTCTCGGAGTTACCGCAGCCATGATTTTCACAGCAGCTGGATCAGCCTATGGAACTGCTAAGTCCGGAACTGGAATTGCCTCTATGGCCGTTGCTAGACCAGAACTTGTAATGAAAGCCATCATCCCAGTAGTTATGGCTGGTATCGTCGCCATTTACGGTTTAGTCGTAGCCGTTATTGTATCCGGAAAAATTGCTCCCGGAGGCCCTGACTACACCATTAACTCCGGTTTCTCACAATTCGCTGGTGGACTTGTGTGCGGCCTTTGCGGACTGGGAGCAGGATACGCCATTGGTATTGCTGGAGACGCGGGAGTGAGAGCCCTCTCACAACAGCCGCGAATTTTCGTCGGAATGATTCTCATGCTAATTTTTGCCGAAGTTTTGGGTCTCTACGGAATGATTGTAGCCCTTATCTTGGGAGCCACATAATTCGTTCGCTTTATTTCTGTTTATTCTATATGTATAGGTGTGCAAAATAGTCCGTTTGAGCATATTTTTAACATTCCCTCACAATAAAGAGATGACATTTTAATTATGTTTCGCCTTTTCCACGTTCTTCTCGTCACCGTTTGGTGTTTCTACTTCTTATGTATACATTATGTGTGTCATTGCTATTGCTTCTTTTTTTCAGAAAATGTCTTACGATTTGGCCACCGCTGAAAATGCTGCTTACTCCCCATTCTTCGGATATATGGGAGCTGCTTCTGCTCAAATCTTCACTGTCTTGGGTGCTGCCTATGGAACTGCCAAATCCGCTGTCGGAATTTGCTCCATGGGAGTTATGCGACCTGAACTTATCATGAAGTCCGTTATCCCAGTTATTATGGCTGGTATCATCGGTATCTATGGTCTCGTCGTTGCTATGGTCTTGAAGGGAAAAGTAAGTCACATTTTCGCTATGTATCTTCATCTTTGTTTGTCTAGGTTACATCCGCCTCTGACGGATACAACCTCAACAAGGGATTCGCCCATCTTGCTGCTGGACTTACCTGCGGACTTTGCGGTCTTGGAGCCGGATATGCTATCGGAATCGTCGGAGATGCTGGAGTTCGCGGTACTGCCCAACAACCACGTCTGTTCGTAGGAATGATTCTCATTCTCATTTTCTCTGAGGTAAATTTGTTTCTATGAAATTGAAATAACTATATGATGCGTGATTGTAGGTACTTGGACTCTACGGAATGATCGTCGCCCTTATCCTCGGAACCTCTTCATAAATTTACAATATTATTAGCAAAAAGCCCTATCATTCCACCCAGCTCCTGTGTTAATCCTGTCTAGTTGTGTAAAAATCGTGATAACCCCCCTTAGATCTGTAAATTTTCGCAAACTCGATAAGTGCTGAATAATATATTTTCAATTCACGATGTTTTTATTCTGATGTGAATAAAATATATATTAAAAGATACATTGTGCTCTCCTGTTCCTTACAGTTTAATATCTTCGGCATGCAATCACAGTAGACAACAACTCATTCCTTTCACAGTTAGAAGAGGATAAACATGAATGGGGATTCTGCCAATACGAGTAACATCATGCAGGAGGTCATGGGTAACATTCCTGTTGCTGGTCCGGGCAGAGGTTTTCATTCACTTTCGAACATTTCTCAAACGAGTTTCAGGGATGATGGGTGGAGGTGGAGGTTTAGTACCTCCTGCTCTCCTGGAAGAGTCTAGAGTTCCGAAGTTCTATTTAGATGCTATAGTAGCTTGTGGAGCTAGTAACTCCACCATGTCACCTCATACGGCTTTAGGTTTGATCATCCTCGTTCAAGACTTAAACATTGATCGGTTTGCAGTTTATAATCTCATGGTACGATCGGGACTGCAAAGATCCGAACTTTCCTACGTTTGGTCTGCTGTAAACAGAACCTTGCCCGGCCAATTAACCCGTCCTGAGTTTTTTTCGTGTCTAGCTCTCATCGCTTTAGCTCAGGTAATTGAGTATCTTGAGTATTGTCTTGAAGAAGCTGTTTCGTAGAAAGGAGAATCTCTCGCTGCCTTATCTTCTATGAGCCAATTGCCTATCCCCACATTACAAGCTGCTCAAGGGAACACACCTCAACTCTCTGCTCCCATAGTTAACGTTTCATCCCGTAATCCCCCTGTTAACAAGTCAGTCCCCACACTGCTCAACCTTGCTTTAACTCTTTTCAATTTCAGCACTCCCAAACTGCCTTCCAAAACATCATTCCTGCCCACGGCTCTACTGCCTAAAAAATTTCACTTATCATCTAATAATTCCGCTAGTAACACTCCAGTCTCTAATAATTCCCCAACAGATCTTCTGGGAGACATTTTCCCTAATACATCAACTAAAACTGCATCAATCAATCTCACACCTGAATCACAGCGTAAGACTTCTTCGTCGTCAACAGTTGATACTTCTGACCCGTCGACATCAGGTAGTAAAAGCGGTTTCCTTTTTAGTATCCCGCGCCGTTGTTTTAGAAAAAACTTCACAAGCTAGTCCCAATTACGACTTCCATAATTGGAATGGAGAGCCTTGTGTTGAGGAAGCCACTGTACAAACAGCGGCAGGCGATACGCCAGTACGCGTCCTACGTGCTGAGCAGGTGGAGGCACTTGAAAGCATAATTCTCGCGATATCATCAAGGTTCAAAGTGAGTTCAGATGCTATCGATTGGTCACTTCTGGATGTTTTTTTTCTCGCAGGAATATGACTTATTATTTAAAACTCGAAGCAGCGATATAGTGAAAGAAGTTTTCGAGACGGAGAGGGGCGATCGATACTTTAGGTTGTTGCCTTAACGCAAAGGGATCCAATTGATTCTGGAATTGCAGGTCGTTGTTTCATGCGCATCTCATCTTGAAAAGGGCAACGGAGTCGTTGTGTGATGTGGCCAGTCCTTACATATCAAATATAATAAAAGATTGTGAACGAATATGGAAAACGATCGACACATACATCGGAAGTAGTCTTCGGCTGGAGGAATCTGAGAAGGAACTCGGCAATATGTGAGAGCAAAAAATATTTTATTTTTGATGGATGTTTATATTTAGCATATGCGGTGTTTGCTATCAATCAACTTGTAGCCCAGTAGAATTTGCTGGGAGGTCTTATCACATAGATTGTGCTAACCTATGGGTGAACTCTGTTCGACCAGTTCTTCCTTAAGAACTCTCATGTATATGTGGAATGCCTGGAGCTTTAATAGATGCTTCTATATCGAGTATTATGAGTCGGTCTCTCACTCTGAATAAGAACTCTTGGATTGTGATACAAACAGGTTTTGAATAAGATTTATCATCTAGTCACTTCAATATGAGGATATTCTTCCATAAAAGTCTATACTATTCTTGTGTTTGTGAGTTCCAAGCCATAGTGGGATATCAGAGATAGAGAGGGAGAGAGAGAGAGAGGGTCGATAACACGTTATGGTTGGTCAATGAGATGAAATGAAGAAAAAGCAAAATAGCGAGAGATCATCAGGGGAACTAGAATTGTATGAAGATCTTTCATTTCGTGCCATTTACAGAGATGAACTTCTTCAGCTGCTTCTGTCACACACTCGGCGTTATTTCGGATTTGTTGCTTTCCATCTTATCAGTCGTTGATTTATCTCCATCCTCTATTTTCTCGCTAACGTCCAGTTGGAGAGCTTCGTCTTGCTGAAAGTAGCAAATCGTAAACTACTGATTTATTGATTCGGGTCATACAAGGACTAAAAAGGGAATCGTTATGTAATTTATCATTGGAAGAAAAAGTTTGATAAGATATGAGAGTGAAAGAGAAGCGATGATAAGCATCATCATGTTGCAAATGAATTTGAGAGAAAGGGAGAGAAGAGGGGAGACGAAGGGAAATACAGAAGAATACATACCGACGTTTCTGAAATACTTTCAACTTTTTTGAGAATATTCTGAACCAGTGGTGGAGTGTCTCGACGCTCACTCAAATTCGCATCTTCTAACGTTTCGTTCAATTCTGAGACGGTTATCTGTAACATCTTTTTTTTATCATGAAGTCGTCTTTGACCATTTTGTTGATCTTTGAATTTCTAAGGCTCACTTGATCACTAAGGCCTTGGACTGATTCTCGTTTGGCTGTCTTTTCCTCTTCTTCATGGAAATTATGCGGGATACGTTCATTGAAATTTACAACATCGGCCAAATCTTTAACACAATGTTATCATTGACAATGGACAAGTTACAAGTTACCTGTGGCTTGAGCATAAGATACTTCTGATGTCTCTCCGACACTCAGACGCTTGTCATGTACTTCAAACATCAAAAGTTAAGTTGGACAACATACTAACAAGAACTTACAATGAGGAATCTCGATGCCATCCATTCTAGGAGAAGGGCTATCGACTTTCTGAGCTTTCTCTCGGTCTTCTCGTTCTTTAATTTCTTTTTTCAAGTCATTCAGAAATTCAGCTCGATCCTTAAAGAAGATTTTTGGAGCGAATGAACTTTTAAAGTTGTTATGCTACTTGAACAAAATCTGGCTCCGACGATGTATCATCCTCTTTTTTTATTTCAATCGGAGTCGGTTTCGGTTTGGGAGGTTCATCTGCCTGCAGAGCTCGATTCGAGGGTGGTGCTGAAGAATGGAAAGTCAATTGAGCTAATTCAGACAATAATAAAGCTGGTAAAATGGGTGCAACAGATTAATATGCTAAGGGATTTGGGGGATAGAGATCAACCGGTCTGTGCGAGTGCATTTCGGGAAATGGCATGCTCACGAAAAATCGATAATTGTGAAAAGTGCTGATGTTAGAGTGAGTGATGGGAACAAAAAAAAAGAAAACAGCGAGTGCGTTCGTTTTTGGTGTGATGTGTTTTAAACCCCTGCCTGTAATGCTTCTTCTGACTGAGGACCCTACTACAGTTACAACACCTTTCTCTTTGGGAATAACAGCATCGTACCTGTAGAATAATGAATTTCATATAAAAGGATGTATGTATGGCATAGCCGGCTTCATTTTACCTACGAAATTTGGGGTCCAACTTGGTAAGATGTGAGAAATCACGAGGTGTTGACGAGCCGAATGCCCAATTTCGGCCATCCGCACTTCCTGAATGACAAATGTTTTGGCAGTCTTAGATCAAGACTAGTCCTCCGCCATTAAAGTTGGAGCTCAAAAAATGATTGGATGGTAATTGAGTATTTTTTGTTTCAAACGTAACACATTCATAATTGCAGATAGATAGAAGAGGACAATATACAAATTGAAATAGTAAGCATGGCATTCATCGGAGGACAATAAAGGTTGTGAGGAATGTGTGTGTCCGACTTCCGAAAACGTAAGTTTCGTGCCATCCGTTTATTTGAACTGAAATCTTTTTTCAGAAACATGTGTGTGTGTCTCTCTCTGTGTATTTCCTATTGAAAGGCTCACATGAAGTTTAGTGTTTAAGAGGTTTTGCTAAGCAAAAGTGTCTTGAATTGGCAAGGAATCCCGCTGGGATTGTTTGAACGACGACAGAACATATTCCGAAAATCCCAATCATACTTGGTTTGTCTCTTTTTCTTTTCTTTCAACAGAAGACCATAGAGAACTATATAAGCTTTTACATATTTTTGTGTGTGTGTGTTAAGAGAGAGATAAAAACAAATTAAGGCAATCGCGTATTGTATGGCTTAAACAGAGAGAGATAGAGAGAGAGAGAGAGATGATGATGAAGAGAGGGCTGATAGAGGGAGATGAAGGGAGGAGGACATTGGTCAAGTCAGATAATAGATGAAAGGAAAATGAGAATGTCTTTTATTTTGGTTCGGATGAACATTCCCCTTTACATTCCACTCTTTTCATATCATCGAAGGCTTTTATTTTCCCGATGGAATTGCCTCAACAGCTGGGCTCCTCCGGCTGCTCCGGCGTATTCACGGTTCATGTCAAAAAGAGAATACTACTGGAGGGTTAGAAGAGATTGTAAGTTAGAGAGAGAGAGAGAGAGAGAAAGAGATAAACATGAGTAAGGGCTAGAGCAAGAGTTGAAAGGCAAAGTTACCATTGCGAGATAGACAGCGAGCTTTCTCCATATATTCTCGTAAAGGTGGTCCAGCACTTCTATGCTTTTCCTTAACATCGTAACTACGTAGTCTCAGAGGAATCTGCAACTTAAGGACTAAATAAGGATGAAAGTGATGGCTTTATGGCATATCCTGTTGAAACTCTAACAACGAGTCTCTGGAGATGTTCGAAGTAAGTTTACACAGAGAGAGAGGGAGAAGGAGAAAGTTAGTTCTATGTTTCGTCATCTAGAAGATTGACCTTATTCATATGTGATAAATCACGCGGAGTGCTGGATCCGAAGACAAATGTTTTCTGGGCGACCGTCTTCGTCTTCTTCTGCGGTTCTCGACTTCTGCCAGACATTCTGTCAAATCACGAATTATAGTTGAATTGAATAGGATTAGAAGATAAGAATGAGTGAGTGTAGTGAGTAGTTGTATTAATTGTGGTCGAACATGAAAAATGTTCGACGACGGGAGCACTCACTCAGTGCGTTAGTGTATTTGAAGCAAAAAAAAGAAAAAAAAAGAAGGAGATAGAAGGAAAAGCTGAAGAATGTATGAAAGGATAAGTGAGGTTAAACAGCGCACAGAACAACGGGAGGAAGAGTTAGGAGTGCTAAAAGGAAGTTGTGGCTATATGCTTGTGGATTAGGGGAGGGCGGGAAACAGGGAGTTGGAGCACAAGAGGCTGGGAACATACTCTCTGAGGAGAAGCCGCTTGAGTTCATAGTTATAAAATAGCAATAACTTTCAAATTTGAATTATAAATGAGAGCTTTTTCTGAAAATTAGTATTGTAAATTATAAATGAAAGTAATTGGAAAGACATAGAGAGAGGGAAAGCTGATAGAGAGATGAATGAGAGGACGTGGATTGGCTGGGTGGGATTGCGGGGGAGTGCAGAGGAAAAAAACAAGATGAGCAAGCAATGTTTCAATGTCACGAAAGGGCTCATCTGATTAGATATATGAACGATGAATAGCACAACAAGAAGAACAGCTTAGAGCATAGCCTAGGAATTCATCAAGTTATTATGAAAACATCAAAGATGGCTATGTGAGCAAGGAGTGCGATTGAGAGGGAGGGGGCTGCTGTGAAGACAGAGGGAGGGAGGAAGAGAGAGAGAGAAAGCCACAGCTTGTTTGTTTCGTACATTCAACTTCAACTTTTGTCAACAATATTTCCGACTATTTTTGTTACTTTTTATGGAAGAACTTTTTGTTTTCTTTTTGCTCAGCCATTTCATCAGCTATTCGAGCTTTCATGTAGAAAACGAAACGAAACGAGAAAAAAGTGTCAGAAACGACTATTGTGTGACAGAAGAGTAAAAGCAAACGATTTGTTGACATGAACAAACAGAACAAACAGAATCAGGTGGGAAGTTGATGAAGAGATGTAATGGTCAGAGTTAAGTTTGGATTAGCATAACGCATATAAGGAAGCTGAGATGTTCGGATGGAAATGGGTGGAGAAGGAGGAGGAGAACGAGGAAGAGGAGGAGCAGAGGGGCTGAATGAGATGCTCATGGTTGGCGAATGGCCGTTCATATTTCTCTTTATGGATATCTAATCAAAAGATGAAAAAAAGAAGAAGAAGTAGAGAGAGAGAGAGAGAGAGAGAGAGAGAGAGAGAGACGACTGGACGCTTGTATGTATATGCGCATATCTGTGCTTGTCCATTACATGGATGAATCAGGGATCAGTTCTTTTTTGGCTCTTTGAGAATGACTAATATGTGTTTTCCCCTTGAATGGTTTTATAAATACATTGGCCACGGCAATATTTGTATTGAAGAGAGAGAGAGAGAAAACGAAAATTAAGGAAACTGCTTTCGCTCTCTTCCTCTCTCTTCTGTCTCTCTCACTGTCTCTCTCTACCTTCTTGCTTTCTCTCCATCTTTAAAGCTTTTCTCACATTGCATCTTCTTTTTCAGAATAAAGACGCCCGTTGGTCAGCCGAGCAATTGTCCTGTACCATCATGCAATCAAAAGCTTGTCGTCATTCAAAAAGCGACCGCGACACTGTTCACAGGTGATTTTATTCCATGCTAGTCAGTCCGAAACTACAACGTAGGTTCTTCAATCCTCCTCTCTCACTCTCTCGCTAACATTTTTTTCTTATTGTCTTCTTTAAACTACACAAAACAACTTAATATGTTATTTTAGAGGATCCGAAAGTTTTACCCATTAAAGGAGACGACGGAAAACGAAGACAAAACGACTTCTTTGGCTGACGACAACGAGCAGACTGAAGTTGGCGAAGTCGACGACGACAACGACATCATCAACGACTATCAGAAGTTGACATTGAAGAGAGGGAGTGAAAAGACAACAACAACAACAAAACAATGATAGGAGAAGTGCTTGTTCTTGCCATAGGATGGCCTTTGGTAGTCTATGCGCAAAGCTATCCCGAAGTTCTTTGTTATCGCAACTGGTACTTCGATCGATCTCGTCCAGCTCCTCGGTAATTCTTTTTCACCAAATTTCATGTTAAATTCTTTTATTTACACACACACACACACACACACACTAAAGCATGTGCCGAAATGTCTGTCCTAATCACATATAGCGTTACTAGGAAATAATGCAATTGTTATTGGTTTTTTTCTATTTCAGAAGATGTCCATCATCCGATTTCTTTACCTACTATGAATGCTGTCAGCCAGGATTGGATACATGTTGTCGTCGGATACGTCTTGAACCCTTGTAAGTGCATTCCCATGACAAAACTTCCTCTCATCAAGTTCTTTTCAAGCATCTTCCTAACGATCATTCTACTCATTCTGCTGTTTTGTTGTTGCTGTTTATGTCTTGGCATATGTTGCAAACGACGGAAAGACAAGAAGCAAGTGAAGGAGCCGTCAGACATAAGTCAAGATGAACGAGAATGTCGTGTAACGACCATATATTGATTGAATTATTTATTTAATAAATTTTTGAATATTAGATTACGGTAGTTTTGTTGTCCTTGGAATGGCCAAATCCTGTAGCACAAGTATGCGCACGTTGCATGTGTGCACTACCACATGCACCGTATGTCAATCTGCAGAGATTTGAATTTTAAATATTTATTATAATTAATAATATATTTTCATTTTGTATCACTGAACAATATCACAATTTAGTTGGCTGGCACTTGAACACAAGACAAAGGATCTATTAGAAACGATGCTAAAGGAAAGGCTCTACATGAAGAGAAAGAGAGAGAGAAGGAGTGCTGGGAGTTGGAGGAATACTATTTATTTTGAAAATATGGCAAGTTCTTGAATTATTTGAAAAGCTTAGTATGCTGCAGCACGGTTTGATGGTTTCTGTTTACCATTTGGAATATTATAATCAATGGGTGGTGTGTCAGGACGAACAACCTGAGAAGAATCAACATGTCAACGACACAAGAATCATCTACTTACATCTGATTGTACTATCTGGGATGGAGAGTCAGGTGAGTCCCTTCTGCTTAAAGTCGGCGTTTCCATATCTTTGGCTGATCTGTAATGTATGATGTGAGCTAGGTCTGCTATACATAAAGCAGTGTGTTAGATGGAAGGTATGCGTAAGCGAAAGAGTTGTGATTGTGAAATGTGCACCTTTTGCCAATGCTTGAGTATTCATGTGCACCACTAGCAGCAGACTGTCTCACATCCTCTTTTTTGCTGAATTATAAATAAAGTACAAAGAGCATTCAATAGAGCTTTTATGTATGACCAAAAAAGGAGTAGAAGTGAAAAGAGTGCAGTTTACAGCGGAACTTGTCTGACTCACCGAAGAGTGTTGCTGAAAGCTTTTTCGTTGATATGCGGTTTACGATATATGCCTTCTTCATATTGCTCCCATACAGCTGAATTGATGTCCCGACTAGATGCTACACTAGCAGACCCCTATAATTGTTTTTGTGAGAAGGGAGGTTGATGAGCTTCAATACTTTTTTAGTCTTCTTTTTCAATGTATCGTAATAGGCTTCGTATTGCTCTGCTGTGTAATTGCCTGGGTGATATGATGCTTCTGGAGGTCCGCCTTGAGTTGATACATATGCTGGCTCTTCATAAGCTGCTCTGTAAACACTAATATATCGTTTTCGATGTTTCACACGGATAATTACTTTCTTGGTATTGTCCCGTATATACTTTCTGGCCCAGTAATGATGGGTCCTGTTCCTACATCTGGTGATCCCGGTCTATACATGGGATGGAATGGTGGAGGGAAAAATCCACGTGGTGGAGGTGGGAAGTGTCCGGGATGAAATTGACCCCGTAAATGTGGTGGTGGTGGAGGTGGCATCATCATACCAGGATGAGGCATGAAATGTGGTGGTGGTGGGGCAAAAAACATGGGATGCATTGGATGTCTTCCGGGTGGTGGTGGGGGCATCATATGCATGGGTAAAGGCATTGCTCCAGGATGATGAGGTGGGAACATTGGAGGATGAGCACCATGAGGAGCTCCTCGTGGGCCAGGGAAAGCGAGAGCTCCTGGTGGCGGCGCGATGGAGTAACGTTCAGCATATGAAAGGTCAACATCTGATCCTGCGCGACGATGTTCTCGTTCCTCTCCTGCGTATGGCAAAACAGATCTGCCAGCATTCCCTTAAACAATTAATTTTAATAGTCAGATAGTTTCTAATCAATCGTTAATCTTAAGTTCAACTGGTAAGATGATAAGAAAGATATTCATCTTTCATATCACCTTGACATTTGGATAACAGTTCAGAAGGTCGTATCTCTTCCTCGCGAAGGCAAAGTTCAAAGTAAAGTTGCCGAGGATAAAGATAAAACGGTACTATTTCATAAAGTAACTGATTGCATTACCATTTTCGGAAGCAGCTCTTTTCGCTGTTGTTCCTTTAGCCATAGAACTTCCGATACTAACACTATCGTACTCGCCATCTGCGGCTCTTTCACGATCCCAGTGATGGATCTGAAAATATGCGTTCTCTACATAATCTTGGGAATTACATACATTCTGTCTTTCAGCTGCTTCCTCTTGTTCATTTTCATCAGCTGAGTTGTTTTCCTCACTGCCTCGGCTTTCAGGAGATCGATCCCCCAATGATCCTTCCTGGAACGAAGCAAATAATATTGGCATTTTAGGAACAGCTCACTTTGATAGCCTTCAATCCAGGGATTCTTTCATCCATTCTCAAATACATGCAATCAGCATAAGCATGAAAGCAACACCGTACAAGAGCATTAGCTGCTTTGGAATTTGTACAAATGAAACCATGACATTCGAGAATCTAAGATGAAGAAGATGTTGCCTCGTATGTTTGGATGGTGTTTGTTACCTTTACACCCGAAGTTCTCCGTAAAATAGCTGCAAACATAGGTGGATGTGGTGAATCAGGAATGTCAGCGAAAGGAGAATCCAAAGGCAAAAAACGCTCGCCTCCTCCTATAGAAACAGACAATTCAGTTTTTACTGCAAAAAGTCTCAAAAAGTACCCTCAATAGCATAGCCAGTCACATTGACATAGCGCACTGCCGCACAATAATGAAGAGAGTTAATAGGGAAGAATGCGGTTTCACTCTTTTTATCTCCTTCAATGTATTCAAGCAGAATGCCATTTGACCAGACTGATAACCTAAATATCGTTTGAATGAGGATATATGAAGATGAGAAGGGTAATGAACCATGAATCAACTCCTCTGGCTTCAGGCGTATCTTCAACGGGATAGCGTTCACGCAATGGCTGTTGTATACCTTGCAAGCCATCCTTAGTGACGGTAGGAACAGCTGATCCTATGTAGAGGACACGGCATCGACAGAGAGGTAAAACCATCCTTAAAAGAAAATTTTTTTTTTCAAATAAAAATTAATTTTCGTATTGATTAGAAAAACGGAAAGAAGTTTGAAAAATGTATGAAAGAAATTGAAGAAATTGCTTGTTAAAATGGGTCAACAGAAGAATTGAAAGGGGGTTAGAACTGTTTGAAACTGAAACCTAATGATATCAGCCAATTGAATTCTATATTTGGTTTGAGTTATCTCATCATCATAACAACATTACAGAAAATGAGAGAGAAAGAGAGAGATGTGCACATGCTTGAGTGAAAGTAACTGGCTACTTGTTGAGAGGTTTCGGACTGATTTGGATACTGTCTAAACATCAACAGCTGTTTCCATTAGACAGTAGACGAAATGAGGCAAAGTTAGAAATGCAAACAGGTAATGGAATAGTTGTGGAAAGTAAAGAACTAATTGTCTATAACGGAAGAGAGGGGGTAATGACGAGAGAAAGAGAGAGAGAGAGAGAGGAAGAGAGAGAAGGCTGGTTATTTGGTTGGTATACAGGCTGTAGAGAACACAAATCGATTTGCAACTGACCGAACAAGCTACTTTCTCGCATGAATGCGAGAATCAAAGAGACGAATGTCCGAAAAATGAGATGAAGCTGAAGAAAGTCATTAAAAATGTTTTTTTGGAAGCTTTCTCAGTGGGGAAGGGAAACATGGGGGGGGGGGGGAGAGAGGATGTGAAAAGAACTGTGCTTTTAGCTATGTAATGAATGGAAAGGAATTGCGTAAAAAAGCAATAACACTGTCATTCTTCTTTCAGTTTCACGTTCTCGAGATGTCTTCTCAGCTTTTTTTTCCGTTTTCTCCAACAATCATTCCGGTTCGAACCTGGCCAAGTATAGCAATTTGTGACAAAAGTTCACGAAGATGGAAACAAGATGTTAATATGGAAGATCCACTTGAAGGAGTCAGACACAATCACTCATACACAGGTAAGTCATGGTCCACTACTCACTGACAGCTATACAACTGTTTCATTGCAGCTCATTGAACTTAACAGCTTTTCTTAATGTGTAAACGGGCAGATCGCATGAAATGGTAAGGATTTCATAGATCTCTACGTGGATAGCCGAGATTCAAATTTTTTTTTTTTTTGGAAAAAAGAGCCGCCGTGACACCATTTCAACGACTGCGTCACATAGAATAACACTTTTGTTGTTACTTAAAGAAGAAAAAATGATGGAACTAGATGGAAAATGAGGAAAGTGATGAAGATTAATTGATGAATACTCTCTAAGAGAAGTAAGTTTCATTTTTGTTTAAGAGGGAGTGCGATGAGAGGGAGAGAGAGAGAGGGGGGGGGGGGGGGAGAAAGGAGGCCAGGAGCGGGTAACAGTAGGAATGAACTGTCTCTGATCAACCGGATCGATTACGAGATATAACCGGATATTCATGAAAGTTTTCACATAACTTTCAATGAAAGAAGGTGAAATATTGATTTACAGCCACACGTCGGAAATTTGTTTAAAATCATCAAAATAGGTCAAAAACGTGTTGAGGAAGAACTCGTTGGATTCGTGTTTTGATGTGAGAAGGTGGTGCGAGGCAAAGATTTTGTGTCATTTTGTAAGAAATAAGGAGACGAAATGAAAATTTGATACAAATGAAGTATTTCAGGAAAACAATTAGAAGAAAGATTGACGAACACGAACGAAAAACACTTTTGGTACAGTCCAAGGGGAAACGATGACTGAAAATGAAATCGGACGACGCACCACCCGAGTTTCTCGGGATATGAAAAGACATTGAAGTGCTCTTTGAAGAGGTTTTGTACTGAATGGATAAAGAAGGTGTAAAAGTGACCGGCGCAGTACTCCGGCCAGCCTTTAACCGTCCAACCTTCTTTATGTTGTCGTTGCGATCTTAACGTCAAACCAAGACAATCTGACCTTGGCCCGTAGAAGGAAAGTGACCGCACAGAGCCCATCGTCGACATTCCGTGTTCCTCATAGTTCTTTCTTCATAGATCGTTCGTATGTAATCTACTAGTATCATCCAACGTATTTGAAGTCTCTTCAATACCACAATGGCTCACATCAGATAATTTTGGCATTGGGGTTATGCAGAGTAATTCTGGTCTCAATCAAAAGATAATATATTCATTCGCTCATATATGGATAACGGAGCATCAGGGATAGTCCGATATACGAAGGTGTGAACATTCCCTATGCAGAAAGATAGATTACGCATCCATCTTCTTCAATCTTCATTTCAGTATTGAGATGAGAGCTCTGCTATGTTAGAACATACACACATTCCATGTGATCTCTAGCCAAACTTGATCTCTCAGCCAAAGTAAACGTTCATGCTTGGATGAAGCTAATGAAGATGTATTTCTGAACATCCAGAATCATTCAATACAAAAGATTTGTTGGAATCCACTTGAGAATCACTTAGCTGTGG